AGAGTTTTTTTTCATAGTTCTACGACACCTGTCGTGGGGGGTACCCTTCGGTGAGCCTGAAAAACTCATTTTTTTAATACAATATAAAAAGAAATTGGTCATTTCGGGTGACCTGTTTTTTTTGTTGAAACGTTGTAGTTTAGGAACTTCAGACATCCAGGGTTGCTACTCCCCAAAGGGAATTACATATATGATATATACCCTTATACATGAAAGAGACCCAATTCCTTGCAGAACTACATACATAGAATATAGGTCCCCAGTGAACATATTCATCAATTTTTTGAGGATCACCACCCAATTCCATTGGTTTTCATTGCAAAATAGTTTTTTTTTTTCATAGTTCTACAAAGTTCTACAACACCAGTCGTGGGGGGTACCCTTCGGTGAACCTGAAAAACTCATGTTTTTAATACAATATAAAAAAAAATGGTCATTTCGGGTGACCTGTGTTTTTGTTGAAACGTTGTAGTTTGGGAACTTCAGACATCCAGGGTTGCTACTCCCCAAAGGGAATTACATATATGATATATACTCTTATACATGAAAGAGACCCAATTCCTTGCAGAACTACATACATAGAATATAGGTCCCCAGTGAACATATTCATCAATTTTTTTGAGGATCACCACCCAATTCCATTGGTTTTCATTGCAAAATAGTTTTTTTTCATAGTTCTACAAAGTTCTACAACACCAGTCATGAGGGGTACCCTTCGGTGAACCTGAAAAAATCATGTTTTTAAGTACAATAGATCATTTCGGGGTACGTTCTAGATTAGGAACATTTCTGCTCACCAAAGCAAATTACGTACATAATATATACCCTTATTACAGGCGGCTGCAGCAATCCAGCAAAACCTGAGAAAAAATATTTTCCTGGATCAAAATGGATAGCCGGAAATATTCTATGTATAGTTTTTTTTTCCGATTCCGGAAGATGCTTTTATTCTATGTATAGGTTTTTTTTACCGATTCCGGAAGATGCTTTTAGAGGCCGAAATTATCGATTCTGTATTCTATGTATGCCATCGAGATTATATATATATATACAGATAATTATAGCTATATTATATATATATATCATATTGCCTATACAAATTTTTGAGATTTCAATGGCAATGATTTTTACATCATTAACACACCCTTACCATATTGACCTTGTCCCAAAACCATGATGGACATGATGGACATGGATGACACTTTTCTGAGATCATGTTTTTTAGGGGCATTCAGGTATGACAGGTTAGGGGCAACCACAAACCAGATACGGGATGGGAAGGGGCTAGTGACAGCGCGGCAGGCCTCCACGACAGGCGCCTGACCTTTTCTGCTCACGATCAAACTCCAAGGATGGGCAGGAGGAATTCCCATCTGAATTATCACCATCACCACAACAATCCCTCAGCTACCACAGAATTTTAGGAGAACTGAGACGATTTTCACAACTTTGCCACTGCCGATTTTCACACTACGGCCCTTTGAATCGGGCACCCTACAAAGCACAAGAAGCCCTAGAGGATCATCCTGTATAAATATGGTAAGGATTGGTAAGGATTGGTAAGGTAAGTGGCTTGTAACTCGCAGTTGTCTTAGGTCACCTGTTTTACCAGTTGCCAGTTATCTGTTGTTTTGACCCACTTGATATACTAAGTTCCAGGATCATCCACTTGCAGGTCCCTAAGCAATCTTAGTTGGGATAATCCATATTCCAAAAAAAGAGCTGGGTGACGATATAATTACCACTTGTGAGCTGGAAATTCATCTTCCAAACTCATGTTTTGCATGTTTTTTGGATAAACTCACTTCACAAAACATAAGAATTCCCAGAATAAACACCGTTTCGGGTATATATGGTTTAGAAATGCTTGGAATTTCGAATATACCACATACCATCACATACCCAACTATATCGAAATGGCAAGTCACGGAGAACAAACTGGTGATGGTTGATGTTTTCCCGGCAGGTGAAGCGTAGCAAGAGCCGGGAGCGGAACCTGGGGGCCAAAGCCCTGGTCGGGAATCTTCTTGGGGTCGATTCTCGGGACGGGAAAAACACCATGGAAAAACGGTGAAAAACATACCCTCTGGTAATGACTAACATAGCTATTGAAAATGACCATTTATAGTGAGTTTTCCCATTAAAAATGGTGATTTTCCATAGTTATGTTAGTTTACCAGAGGGTACCTTTTGGGTGAACCTTAGACATATGTTTCAAGATGCATCATTATCATTTTTTTCGAGAAAAGGAGAACAGGGAGGATTCAGTACGCCACAAGATCAGCTGGTTTTAGTTCGAGCATTGCAGCATTCCAGCACCTATAGCATCCCTTCAATTGCGCTTTGCAGATGAACAACCCGAAAGACTTCGTCCTGGAATGGTTTTGGGGTAAGTTCACTGAATACACCTAGGATGTGGTAAACCCAATGCCATGAACCCCAGTCGTCCCCATGGGATTCAAGCCATCCCCAAATGGCAGGTGTTTTTTTTGTTTATGGCATTGGGTTGCTCACATTCCCCCTACCGGTAATGTTGCCATGAAAACACTCTTTGGACTGTGGATTTTCCATGATTTTCCACGATTTTCCATTCCACTGGTCCATCCCTTCGCTTTGAACCGGCCGCTTTTCAAGCTGTTTTACCCTTCGTGCGGTGGTTTTTCACCGCCTGGGGCGAGAGCCACAGTTTTGGGGAGCCATTGGATGGTGCGATGATGCACCTGAGCCAATTTGGGGGCGATGGGTGGAGGGAAACCTGTCAGTCAACCTGAAGTGAGTACTGTAGATATCGCGTGAATATGCTGTGTATAATATATGTATAATATGTATGTATATATATATATATTTTGATAATATATATATATACATTGAGTATATTTACATCGTGGACAGACCCAAACAATGACCAGGAGTATGTGAGAGAAATGAGCAGCGACCAAAACCCCATGTATTCGTTTTATCTTGGGCTTAAAGTAGGATGACCCCGCGGAAGTGAAAACCTGCAGTGCGGAAGCTCCAATGGGGTTCGCGGAAGCGCTGCGGAAGTGAATTGTAGTGCGGGACCCTCCGCGGAAGTGGAAACTGTGGCCGCGGAAGTAGCGCGGAAGTGTTCGCGGAAGACGTATGTTAACGTATAATGGAATAAAACTCAGGTTTTGGCCACAGCTCAAATGAGAAATTTGTAGGGGCCTATGTTTCAGGATGCCCTTGTTCAAACCCGCAGAATATCAGGCCATCCAAAACATGAAATGTGCAGTTTCGGTCTCCTGCGGAGGGATTGTAGCGTGTTTACTTCAATAAGCACAGGTCCTAGTGTGTCGAACAATTGAGACGCAGCCATTGATACTGTTTTTTTTGCCTCCAACAAACGTTTTTGCAACAAGGCAACTTGGGTTCCGGCCTTTCAATTCAATGTCAAGAGGTGTATCTTTCTGCAGCCCTTACTTTATTTGCAACATCCAAGGTTCTGCCCATCGACTATAATTCTATAATGAGTTGGTTTATAAACCCCTGGTTCATAATCCCCAGAAAAAAACCTATACAGTAGTTGCTATAGCCAATAGCTGTAGTTATCCGAAATATCCCTAAATCCTATTGGAGTTACAATCCAACGGGCCCTTAGGGGCCCGGGTGAGCCTCCAGGCACTTGCGCTCACGTTGTAGACCCAGAGCCCTTGGCTCATGGAGACTTGGTGCTATTTCAACATGGGGATGGGATGAGAACTAGATCATGTTGAGGATTTCTGGGTTCTCCATCAAACATGGCTGGAAAACGCATCACTTTTTGGTTCCATGATTTTCCAATGTGAATGCACTTACTTGCTTGGGAATTTCCCAGCCAGTCATGTTTGATTACCGGAGGGTTGTCCCACAGTGTGTGTTTTTGTTTGCAAACGGGAAAATTGGTGTCCAAGAGTAGCTATGACCCGAAAAATTACCTTGAGACGGTTATAATTATATAGATATGTTCGATGCGAATCAGCCCCACAATTGGTTGTGAGAATCCTATGGAGATGTTGGTGTATAGGACCACACCTGGAGTCATGTCATGTGGTGAAGCCTTGGATTTGCCACCAAAAAACTTCCAGTAATTCAGCTCCGTGAACGCTGAGGTTCAGGAACCTTAACACCGGAATCCTCAAGGAAGCGGACAATGAAAAGCGTGTTAGTGCCCCTGCAGCGAAGGAACCTGGTGAAGCCTGTAATTTTTTGGAGATTTTGTGGGCAGCCCTGTGCCCCATGTTACCACCCTGGATTGTGATGCTCTGTCTTTCACACGTTTCCACCGCACCGCACCTGGGTCACCTGGCCGCGGTTTCTGGGATGGAAGTGGCACTGATTTCGGCACTTCAAACCTTGATTTGCTGCAGCCAGGATGAATTTTAGCAGTAGATGGGGGGATGTCAGAGCCAGCTGAATAGTACCCTCTGGTTATTCAACATAGCCATGGGAAATGGCCCATAGAAATAGATGGTTTACCTATTAAAAATGGTGATTTTCCATGGCTATGTTAAATAACCAGATGGTAATCAATATGATGTAGTATGTGTAAGCCGGGCCGTCTAAAGATCCACCAGGCACTGCGGAATCATGCCACCATGGACTAATATGGTCTATTTGTAAAGGTCAGACGCAAATAAGGAGATAGTTCGAAAGATTCGTTGGGACAACTGACGAAAAGGGCTCGCGTTCATCCACCAATTGCCGTTTCGATGGCTGCTGTTTTCACCGCTCGAGCCAATGGACTAGGTTTGGATCCTGGATCCGATGACATTTATCGACAGATTATCATATCTGATCCATTGGATATGATGTGGATGCGCATCAAAGGGAAGATTGGAAATTATTTTCACATATTTTCAGACTATAACTATAATATATAATAATATATAGTGTTTATATTGCTATCAACTTGGAATAGATTGTACATATTTATACATATATCATATATCCCATAAACAAATCAAGGGGCACCTGCCATTGGCAGCATCATATTTGCCATGGCATGTTGCGGTGCCCCTTCATTGACACCCTTGGCCCGGTATGCAAGATCATTAAGGACTCAGCTCGATGACGGTGAAAAGCTGCCCATGCTCTTTCCTATGTACACCGTTCCTTTAGGCACCTTGTTGGAGATGACCATGATCGAGCCTCATGAAGCGCTGAAGGCTCGAGATGTCTTGGTGGAGTTCGAAAGGAATATGGGCAACGCGGCATTTGTTTCACACCAGTGGGTTGCCAGCAACCACCCGGACCCAGAGTGCGCGCAGATGAGGGTCTTGCAGGATGCTTTAGAGAACATAATGGGCAACTTGAAGAAAAAACATGCAGATCTAGTTCCTGAAACGCAAAATCCAGATTTGGAGTCCTTGCCCACATCGAAGATTCTGTCAGAACCGCTGTTCTTTTGGTATGATTATTTCTCATGCCCGCAGACGGAAAGGCGTAGTGCACTTTTAGGTCATGGAGGAAAAGTGCACAGAAGAAAACTGCTGGATGCCATCAACAGCATACCGGCATATGTGGACGAGTGCTCCTTCTTTTTTGCCCTTGTACCAGTCTTGGAAAATCCGAGCGGAACCAATCTGACCACTCCAACCACATGGAACAGTAGGGGCTGGTGCAGGTTGGAGAGATCTTGCCGAGAGCTCTCCCCAAACCACTCCTGGATTCAGGTGAAAGGCCCCACTGATCTTCAGCTCATATCGGCCGCTGGAGCATCCATTCAGGCTGGATCTGGGCCAGTGGGTGAAGGAGCCTTCACAGTGCCGGAGGATCGCTTGCAACTCGGGCCGGTTCTCATGAAAGCACTGAAGCGCAAGCTGCTTTGGCTTCTCAAAGCCCAAGATCTGCCAGGTTTTCGCTTTTTGCTGAACCAGCAAGCTTTTGTTTTCAGAGGTTTGGATTGCAACCTGTTCGAGCCTGTTCCGGGTTTTGAGAACAACCATGTGGATTGGGATTTTTCACCGCTTGTCATGAAGTTCTTCTATCAGAATGGTTTCCGCAGCATCTGCGAGATTGACAGTGCTGGATTTTTGCCTCTGCACTACGCGGCCCTGAACGGCGACCCGTCGCTGGTTCAAGACCTGCTGGCACTTCAGGCAGATCCGAGCCAAGAAACAAGAAAAACCCACCCAGGTCTTGGATATGAATCGGGGATATCACCTCTTACCATTTCCTGCATCTTCAAGAACAATGAGGCTGTCCGCGTCTTGATCTCTGCCAAAGGCAGGGTCAGCAGCGCGATTATTAGCAGACCTCTTCAGATTGCGAGTGCTGTTAACAATACAGAAGCCATCCATATTCTTCTGGGTGCTTGGTGCCCGCTGGAGCCGAATTCTTTGGGTGTCACTCCGCTAGAATGTGCTGCCGCCTATGGAGGCATTGAAGCATTCGACGAGCTCCTCAGACACACCAACGTGAGCGCCTTGGATGCCACTCGCGCTCTTTGCAATGTAGCAAATACTGCTGGAAGTCCAGAGATGGTGCACCGACTGGTTAAAATGAGGGCAGATGTCAATGATCAGACTGGTGACTGGTACAAGCACACCTCACTGATGCGAGCTGTCTGCACCTTCAAGGTTTTGCAGCACCGGTTTCACAAGGCCACAAAATTCAGCAAGTTTCTGTACCATGTTAAAGGTGCCACACCTTTGATGCTAGCCTTACTCTGCGGGAATGACGAATGTGCTGCGGCTTTGATTGCTGCAGGGGCAAAGCTGAATCTACGGAACTCGCAGGGATTGACTGCAGCGGATCTAATACAAAGGCGTTTGGGGCCGAAATTCCTGCTGGAGGCTTGTGAAGGAAGAGTCGAAGCATGCCAGAGGGTTTCACTACTTGCACGTGGCTGGGTTGAGATGCAGTTCTGATAGAATGATATATGATGTGACGAATTAACATGCTGGAGCTGGCTCTGTGCCCTTCAGAGGCCATTCCACGAGCGGAGTGTCACTAGTAGCTGCGGTATTGCACCAAAGAATCGCCGGAAATGTGTTATCGCCGGAGCACAAAGGGTAGGCGTATGATGGCCTATGTAGGCGTGGCTAGTGGCGAGGTTGAGGTGGGATGACTAGACTGCTCCCCAAAACTGCACCTTGCTTACATCCCTGGGATCGAGCAACAGACAGTCAAGTACCCCAACAGAACAAATGGTTACGCCCCACTTCGGATCCTCCGAATCCTTTGACACGCTCCAATCCCTTCGTAGGGACCATGTTTTTTTTAAATGTTTTTTTTTTTTAACTGTCCAAAACAACAAACCCTAAAGCCCTGAAGCCCTAAACCATACAACCCTAAAACATCCTAAAATCTAAACCCTAAATCCTGAACTAAAGTCAAAATCGCTGGGCCAGTATTTTCGCCCATCTGGTGACACGTATGGGTGTGTTATTCATGGGCCTTCCCATGATTTTGTTTAGGGAACATGTGTTGAAACATTCTCGTCAACCAGGTATGGTTCCTTCCGTGGCCGAAAAACTGATTGCCAAGGCTGTGGATGTCGAGTCATCGTAGGTCAGAACATGCAAAAAAAAACACAGCAATTAACAACGCTATCGGAGTGGGATATACCGATATTAACCTCAGTTTCTTTAATCTGGGGGTGTTGATGATCCCTATGCTTTTTGAAGATGGGCCATGGAAAAACTCGACATGTCAAGATTTTTGTCCGGATCCTCATGAATTTTTAGACTATCGAAAGCTGTCTCTCTTCAGTTCTTGAGTTTTCGAGGCATTGAAACATCTTCAACATTGACAGGCTACTTATTAAGTTTTTCTAGGATCTTCTAGGCGCATTCTTTGCTAACCATCAACACTACAACAATCGCGATGAGAGCCTCCAATAAATGAGCATATATAGCGAATTAAGATAATTATGAAAATCACCAACAAAAATAATAGGTAAATCATGGAACCAAATAGGCCATGGTTTCCATGGCAACATTAGTTTACCAGGGAGTAGTGCCCCAAAAGGTGCACAACCTGTGCCGAAAACCTCGGCTGAGCGCCGGCTGCAGGGCTATAAAATCAGTGTGGAAGCTGGTGCGGGTGTCAAGAGTGGCATCTCTGATAGCGCTTACGAGGTCACGGTGGTGACGGAAGGGAAGTGGTGGTTTATGATACCCTCTGGTAATTTAACATAGCTATTGAACATGGCCATTTATAGTTGATTTTCCCTTCAAAAATGGTGATTTTCCATAGCTATGTTAGTTTACCAGAGGTGGTTATGACTTGCATAGCCATGGTATAGATGGCCCATAGAAATAGATGGTTTACCCCTTTATCCATGGGTGGATTTTCCATGGCGAACTGTTAGTCATAACCAGAGGATACCACTTTTATGGCCAATCATAGGGGCGCGGTCACAATCTTATGACCAAGTTATGTTTTCGGCATATCCTGGATAAATCTGGATTATATACAGGTTCTTATGGGTTATTGAAGTTATTATGGTAACCCAAGATGGAGAAGGGAACATATACATTCTTGTTGCCGGATTGTTTTTTTTTGGATGTGTTTTGGCAACTTTTTGGGGGTTGCTATATACAGATAATAAATAATATCATTCACATTCAATCCGTTCATGTAATTCACGTTCAACCCATGTTGCAAGGATATGGGTTTGTCTCAAAATCAGGAACCCTGCAAATACCATGGTTTATCATGATTTCAATTGCACCCCTTGTGGTCTGAACCAAAATCCACGGGTCAATATGAATCATTTTCCCTATTAAAATGACCAGACTGGTAGATGGGGGTGATATAGTCACACATTTTCAGACACACCCATGCGAAAACCAGGGTTCGTTTCCTCACATCCAGAGGGATCCGAAAATGAGGCCATGTTAAACCCATTGAAGTTGACCGGCTGCAAGCTGTGAAACCCAAATCTTTACTAGCCTCTTTAGCCTCTTCAGCTGTCCTTTTCCTTTTACAGTATACTCAGTATACCCTTACTTTCCGGCTTGCGCCGTACCCCCATCATTTCTCCATCAGTCGCAGAGGCAGTGGGCTGCACAGTGGTCTCTAGGAATCAGGTCAAAAGCAGTAGCGAACTGCTCTTCGTGCCTTGGTCGACTGGGCTGGATGGCCTTAAAAATAGCATATTACCAGAGGGTAATCCCATGAAACATCTCCATTGTATCCACCATTTTCCACAGTGAAATTACAAATTTCCCGAGTTAAATCATCAGTGTCTCTACTAAAGCCACCATGTTCACACTTAATTATTGTATATTATTGTTAAATCACATATTTTTTTCGTTTTTTTTGGGTAAATCCAGCATTTTGCATGATTTTGAGTTGTTTTTGGGCCGCTCACAGCTCGCGGCCCAGGCGATCAACCCCCCTCCAGCGGAGGAGCTAGGCAGCCTCTCTGGTGACTCGGCGACAAACCTGGGCAAAGCCTTGGTATTTGGTGTTTTTTAGAGAACTTTTAGGCTGCTTTTACCCCGTGGTCCATTGTTTTGATTGACTTTATCTCAAGGTTGGGTTTTGTTTCTCCCCTTTTTAGCCAAGATATGGGCTTTGGACGACTAATACATCGATGTCATCGCTACCTTAAAGATTTAATCTCTGAGGCATTGCCGGGCATTGACACTTCAGTTATCAACAATACGTTAGGCTCTTCCTTTGGGTTACGGTGTCAGGTAGCTCTAGGCATACACCTGGTCCCTGTCAATCCCACCAATGTCTGGTCAATATATGTAATTACAAGCTTGCCTCTATTGTTCCAGCTCTTTTCTTGACGGCAAGAAATTCCGCTCTAGCTGGAAACCAGATTGGGGGTGCTTTGACACCCGGATGTGAGCTGCTGTCGCGAATTGCATGTTTTTTGTTAGCTTTGTCTGAGTGCCTGTAAGGCTTTAAATTGCAATGGGAAAAAAAAAACATGGGGGTTTAAGGATGTTTAAGGTAATTTAGGGGTATTTTATTGGGAAATCCCAAGCTTTTGAAGGGTCTCCGAAAAAAAACTTTGGAAGTTTCTGGCATAAAGAAAGGTCATTCACCAGCAAAAAGCATGTGTTTTTTTGGCCATTTTGATGGGACGGGAGTTGTTGGTAACTATGGTTGTTTCAATTTCCCCTATAAAAGGGGAAGCCTAAGAGCTAGCAATCTTCTACAGTGAATCTCCTAGGTTGGCCGTGATGAAGGGTTGAGATTGGGGGAGATCAATAGAACCAGGTTTTTGAATTACTGCTTCAGCATGAGTGGGCTCAGAAATCGGCGGCCCTGGCTATGCAGGGATCGTGTCTTCCTTCTTTTCCCAGTGGATTGCCAAAAATAATGTCGCTCATCTTGGCACGATTGGATTTTCTATGATTCAAGGAACATCTTTTTAAGAATTTGGATCTTCAAGCCCAGGGTCCCTCAAATGCTTGACTTAGCTCAGTATTCGAATATATTCCAATTGCAAAACCCCGGAAAGGCATCCGTGATTGCCGGGCCCTTCAAATTCTGATACAGTGCATTCTTATACAGTGCTTGATAACTAGTTATAAATACCCTCTGGTAATTTAACATAGCTATTGAAAATGGCCATTTATAGTTGATTTACCCATTAAAAATGGTGGTTTTCCATAGCTATGTTAGTTTACCAGAGGTGGTTATGACTTGCATAGCCATGGTATCAGTAAGAAACATGTGGATCTGAGCGATCCTATGTCGGGGGCTTATCAGTGCGGCGATAGGATTCATCAATATGATGAGTCAAGCCATCAGGGCGGCAGGGTTTTGATCGCCGTCCGCTGGCCCATTCGTGGTTGACCGACCAAAAGGTAATGTTGACAGCGGACAGCGTAAGATGACGGTGACAACAAGGTAATTTAGAGTCACTACCAATTATATATATATACGTATAATTTATTATTATGTGTATATAAATATATGTATTATAATTATGTATGTATATATAATTATATATATATATGTATTGTAATTATATATGTATATATTGTAATTATATATACATTATAGTAATATATGTATAAATTATAATTATTATATATATTACAATTATGTATGTATATATTATAATTATATATATTATAATTATATATGTATACATTTTAATTATGTATGTATATATTATAATTATATATGTATATATAATAGTTATATAATTATATATATATATATTATATAATTGCAACTAGGTTTTTCCCTTCCTATCACTAGGGTTGACAACTTGTCACCAGACTTGGCCCAAGAAAACGTGGCCGTTTTGGGACGAGCTTCGCTAGGTAAAACCCTGGTGGCTTGGATTGGACGTCGGCTGCCGGAGGGGGAGGCCTACGTCAAAGCTGGCCAGGTCGGGCGGTGAAACTCATCGGTGCCGGTGCCAGGTCTGTTTTGGACGATTTTTTTCCCCTCTCCAGAATGAAAGATCTATGGAAAGTCATGAGAAAACAGTTGTTTCCCCCCGAAAATGACGATTTTGCTGGAACAGTGGAACATCAAAAAACACTCCACCATGACAATAGAGAAAAATAACACGATCAAATCGAGGATTTCCTCAGGAAATTTTCACCCACATTTCCTCAGGATTTCCCCACGTGGCCATATGATTTCCAGCCACAGGAGGCCAAAGTGACCCTAATGGACACAACTGCAGTGCCGCGGATCACTATTGCGCCGCTTGGTTTGCCACATGTTGTGGCGCCTTTTTCACCAGAAAATCCATTGAAATCCCCCAAACATTGGGATTGGAAGAGACTTTTTTTTACAGAATTCATATGGATTTCTAAAGGAAAATGGGAATGATTGGGGTTAGAAGACAAGTTTTGAACCCCCCTTGGAATTTCCACTAAAGAATGGGACAACCCGGGTTGTCGCAAAAAAACGTTTTTTTTGCTAAAACAGGTGGTTTTTCCACATGGCTAAGCCGGACTCTCCATTTTTTGCAAAGGCTTCCTGGGTCAGGATTTTTTGGAGAGGGGATTTTGAGAGGGAATAGACAAGCTGATTGAATTTTTGGGCACATTTGGTATTTTTATACGTGTTGACATCCACATGGCTAACATGGACTCCCTATTTTTTAGAGTTCTGCATTTAGATTTGTAGTTTTCTTGTATTTTTTGTTTTTTTTTTGTAGTTGGTTGCCTGGGCCATGATTTTCTAGATAGTCTTAGACCCCCTTGCACCCTGGGTAGGCATTCTTTAGATGTGCCATTTCAGTAGTGCAAGGTGGACCACCGTTTTTTGTCTAAAGAATGCTGGAGTCCATGTTAGCAGGGGAATTTCAACAGTGATAGTTTTGAGACTGAAATGTGGCCAGCTTTCGGGAGTTCTTGTGAGATTATATTATAGTATATATATAGATATTATAATTACGTATATGTAATTATATATATATATACTTGTATGTTATAATATGATATAAGATTATATAAGCAATAGTGCACGAACAGTGGATGATCAATTTTCCCTGATGATTTTGACAGAATGCAGGGAGCAACAGCAACTCTCAGGTGCAGGTCTTCAAGGGAATTGACTCAGACTAAGGGAGATTTGACGGGTCCCAAGCAATCTCGTGAAATGAACAGTTGGGAGCTATGTAATAATGTTTCAAGGCTTCAAGCTCCAATTTCTCTCAATTTCTGTGGGATTTACCATCCGGTCATGACTAACAGTTCGCCATGGAAAATCACCATTTTGAATAGGTAAACCATCTATTTCTATGGGCCATCTATACCATGGCTATGTTAGTCATAACCAGAGGGTACAGCATATATGTTAACCATTGGGTTCTATAATATGGCTAGTAGTTATAATAATACTCAGGGACCCACGGGTCATATGAGAATGTTTGATATGGCCAATACTTACTGGCTGATATTTATCACACCCATTTTGAATGCTTGATCTGCCAACATTTCTCCAGATTTTCAGGCAGAAGATGGACGTGCTGTCCTCGCAGGTGGGGCGAACTGGATCAATAGCCTGCTAGATACCATTGAAGTTAGGGGATGAACATGAACATTGACCCATGTATTATAGCTATAAATGATACCCCATTTTATGGATATCATTTGTAGCTAATCCCAGCTATTTTGATGTGAACAGAAGGGTTTTGACATGTTTTGACCCATGTTTTCATGTGGTTGTTTGAAAATTATGAGAGGGCCCCCAATTTTCTTTTAACAGTCGATTAAGGCATGTTCCTGATCTTAGGGTACCCACATTTCTTGGACAAGCCCGAATGGGCGTGGCTCCTCTAGGCTTTGCGTATATACTCTTACTGTTGGGTAAAATTGAATAACAACCATATTCGGTGTCAGCTCATCGTACTATGTGTAGGGATATACTGTACAATTCAATTTTGTGGGTGCCACAATACCATTAGATTTGATCATTCTCTGTCTCAGAGCATCCATTGTTTTGGGGTCAGTGATTTTTCGAACAGCGACTTACTTCTGATGACATCACCAGACAAAGAGGTAGGGATACCCAAGAAATCGCAAGGGAGTTGGGCGTGTTTCCAGGTCTGTTTTGGGCGTGCAAAACATGGGACTGTTCAAACCGTGAGGGTAGACCAGGGCTTTGTCAGGTGAGCGCACCCCTTTTTTTTGATGCTTGAACCCATCATTTTCTGAAGCGCCATTTGAGGAGATCAAAGCCAAACCATCAGTTTTAGACAAAGCCAAATGAGAACCCCATTTTTTTCGGAAATTTCAACCCCCAATCAGCTTGGAAATTGGCATCATCTTTTTGCTTTTTTTTGGGTTTCTCCAATGGTTTCGGCCTCAAAAAATTGAGAACCCCCGATGTGGGTACATCCCAGCTGAACGAAAAGTCATGCAAAACATGGAGGCATATCCGAGCTAAATAAACAGATGTATTACTGTTACAGATCCAATATGTTCTTTACTTATACAGTATAGCTAAAAGTTCCATAAACTAGCAATGTTAAGTCAGTGAAGTCGTGACGGTTTTGGGATGTTTTGGGGTACAAGCCATGTTCAGAAGCCATAGCCATCCATAGCCCATCCCCAGAGGCCAAGTGTGCAGGGCACAGGGCCGTGCTGGAAGGCCTGGAGGGGAAGGATTTTTCGAGGATTTTCGTCGACGTTTTCGGAAAACCTTCTTTTTGGGATGTGCAAAGCAAAAGCAATGCGAGAGAGTTGAGATTGAAGTAGGAGCACCCGCTTTGAAGTATTAACTATATATTAACCATATATAATAACCATATATTAACCATGTATTAACCATATATTAAACATATATTAACCATATATTAACCATTATTATTAGTCAAGAGGAGCTTCGGGATACAACCAGGTTCAACATGCGATCGAGCGATCGACAAACCTGGGTTAGTTTACCCCAGTCACAGGTAGGGCAAGTAGGGGCAATGTCCAAATAATGTTATAAGTTATAAGTGGGGTGAATGATAATCCAGTTTCTAACTGGGATGAGCCACCAAGCATATAGTATTATATTATTTATATATATATATATGTTATATATTGATTATATTACTGTATATTGGGGCTTCCACACATTTTCCATTTTCCAGCTATGACTGGGAAGGTTCACCAGGTGACGCACAGTCTAGCTGCTTGGGATGGGAATGCCGCTACTTGATGGATTGGATGAAGCCTCTTGGTTTCCAATGCTTGGGCCCAGAAACATTGGTAGATGCCTGTATTGTGGACATTCTATGTGCCTCTATGTGCCTCTATGTGCCTCTATTCTGTTCAGCTATCTCCGATTTCATGACTGAAAAAAGACGGCGACAACAACGACAACCACAACAGCAACCGCAACAGCAACCACAACCACAACCACAGCCACAACAACCACAGCAACCACAACCAGAAACAAAGAAAAACAGGGCCCCCGCAGGTGCCTACGCCTTCGAACGCTTCTACCAGGGTCTGGAAGCTGAGGGCAGAAACCGGCGATTTTTTTCAAGGGCCCTCGGTGGGATTTTTCGTCTCGAAAATGGGGTGTGCTGCACTTCAATTGGGGAAAATGATTAGAGACATTTTTTAGGGAAAATTATGGGAACATGTTTTTTTTGGGGGTTGCTACCCCTGTGTATTTGCCTGAATATGGTGAGAGCGTACGATCAACCATGGGATTTCCGTTGCTTTGTCGAATTTTTTGTTGGGCCACCGTGTGGCCCAGCGGGTATCACAGGCTTCATCAGAGGGGTTATCGCCAGGAAGAAAATGATGGATATCACCACCAGAATGGAGATATGGATGTGTCGGAAAATAGGGAATACCCACAGATTTGCCATTTACTAGGAGAAATGAGGATGAGGGGATTTAGGGATATTTCGGGTATAAACAATTTTCAGACCCAAATTGAACAAGACAGGTTGAGACAAGAACAATGCTGTGGGGGTGAATCACCCTTGGAAGAGATTGAGGGGGTTCCTTAGAAGAGATTGAATGGGTTATTTAAAGTAATCCAATTTGCAGGAGGTACAGGCCAACTAGTGTGGGTGGTCCATCTTAAAACCCCAAGACCGATGATTCCCCACAGTTGGCTGGGGGACAATGTGCACTTTTTCCCGCCTGAGGTGAAATTACAGCTGCTGGGAAGTACCCGCCCTGTCACACTATGGTTCCTTTGGTGCAAATTGGAGGTCTGGAGGGGTTGGGGCAGCATTTTGGAGCTACGCAGCTACGCTTGTCCGAAAATAGGGTACCACAAAATCCCATGGGTTTATCGTAATTTTCCTTACTCAAATGGAAAATTAGGGTATCCCATGGTATCTTGCATTTTGTCACATACCCAAATTTAGCAAGCGACCCTCGTCATGAGGTCATTTGCACAGTGGCAATGAATAAAAGAGATCCATCGCCCCAAATTTAGTTTGTTTTTGATGATTCAACGATGATGAACGTATAGAGTAGATGTATATAATCATGTTATTCTTACGATCTATAAGTCAATTTGCCCAGAAATCTGTAGATTATTTCCAATGTTTCCAAAGGACAAGTCGAAGAAGGCGCTAAAGCAGCTAGCCTTCCCGTTTTGTTAATGTCAGCAACCGAAATAACTTGAAACACATATTATCCCATGTATAGATGAATTCCAATATATAGTAAATATACCATCCCATTTGCTAAAATTCAATATCATTAATAAAACCGTCTAAATAATATGATCATACCTGGTACCATCAAATTGGGATGATCATGATATTTAGCATAATTAAAAAATATTAGTATCATTTTAACATTATCACATATAATCATAGTATTATTATCATTTGACCATTGTTAGTATCATTCTTTTATGATATTTCATAAACTTTTTAAAACCTATCCATAGTTATGGGATGAATCAAATCCATTGTTCTATGATACAGTAATCCATAGTTTTTTTAAGCACCATTACATTGCGGGCGCCAACGGGGAACATGAACTGAAAACCGCCACTCGCCCCATTCGCCCTACTCGCCCCACTCGCCCCACTCGACACACTCGACCCATTCGACCCACTTGACCCACTTGCCGGGGTATGGGGGGTTAAGCAGAGCAAGTAGGGCAAGCGGGGCAAGCGGCAGAAATCACTTAGCGGCCCCGTGGGGCAACCACACTACACCATTATTAACCCATACAGTAACCGTTGAATTGGGATGAAAACAATCCAGTAGTATCATTTTAACATGAACAATCATTCTTAAGCTATGATTTAACAAAAAAGTTACCATATTGATAACCATGGTAGTCTACTAGCTCCACCCAGGTCTTGGGCATCGGCGTGGCCGGCTTGGCGGTTCGCGGTCCCGGTTGTTGTTCGATGTTGGGTGCAGCGAAGCTTAAGGGAAGCCCTGGACCACTAAATGGAACCCCCTGGTGTGAAATTCCAGGAAAATTCCATCTGAAGTGGAAGAATAGCGAATAGAATAAGACTACACTTAGAGCCTTTAGAGCTGTTTTTTTTGTGAATGATGTCCATGCGCTGACAAAAGTTGTCTTTGGGCTTCTTGCCAACCTTACCTGAAGCCATCATAAACCACACATAGAATCATTAAACTGTCATGACCAAGTCTTTGAAAACATCATAAACAAATCATCAAACCATCATCCTATAGTCAAAATAGCTCCTAGTAATGATAAGTTTGTAATCGTAATACAGCCATAGATTGTTTGTGATACAGTATTTTAAAGTCACTATAAATCAGCCAATGGTTTGCCGATTGGTGGTTTGGAATTCTGGGATACCCCATAGTGATAATATCTTTCATAGGGATTCAATTCCAAACCACCGACCCAAATCACGTCTCAATCATTGGTTGAAGAATAACACTAGTCATGGTTAGTCCACTTAACAATCCTCATCGTAATCACTCAAATAAAACACATCATCATCATCATCATCATCATCGTCATCATCATCATCATCATAATCATATTTGGTTTCATACTCATATACTGAATATGGTTATACATAGCTAATATATATATATATATACACACGTATATACCTAACATTTATAACCATAAATGGTCCAGATGTTGAATTAATGTTATATAATTTGTATTTTACATGGGTTTATATAGTCATGTGAACAGTGTTGAACCCCCGGGTTGTTTTTTTTAGTGGGTTATAGTCATAAACCACCTATTCTATACACAATCACAATCCAGCTATTTTATAGTGATAAACCATCATACCAATTCGATATCGTAATCCTCATGGTTTATAGCTTACAGCTTCCATAGATGGATTAACATCATAATAATGATGTGTTATCATATGTGCCATGGTCGAGTCAAAAGTTGGGTTAAAAAAGTTGGGTTAGTTTCTCATATTGGGGGATGGTCATCAATTGATTAATAGGAATTTATATGCCCATTGCAAGGGTTCCCACTAAGGGATGGATGACCATAAACCATTAATCCCTACGGACCTCGACCCTAGCACATATAATCCTGGAAAATGCAACATTTACAGATTGTTTTCCCATTAAAACGTCGCAGATTTTCCTATTAAAACAACCATTTATAGTGGATTTTCCCATAAAAACTTCCATTTATGGTGGATTTTCCTGCAAACACTTACATTTATAGTGGATTTTCCCGTTAAAAACATATATTTTATAATGGATTTTCCCATAAAACTTCCATTTATAGTGGATTTTCCCATAAAAACTTCCATTTATAGTGGATTTTCCCATAACAACCTCCATTTGTAGTGGATTTTCCCATAAAAACTTCCGTTTATAGTGGATTTTCCCATAAAAACTTCCATTTCTAGTGGATTTTCCCATAAAAACTTCCATTTCTAGTGGATTTTCCCATAAAAACTTCCATTTCTAGTGGATTTTCCCATAAAAACCTCCATTTATAGTGGATTTTTCCACCATCCTCCGCCGCCCTACTGAGTCCATGGGCACCTCAAGCGCCCTGGGAAGTGTGGTGCGCGCTTGGGACGTGCGCGACGTGAGCGACCAGGCACCGCTTAAAAGGGCTTGCGGTGTTTTTGTCTGGGGGTTGCGGTTGGATCCACTGGGAGGATCCGATGTCATTATGAAAGCCATTTATAAACCATAGATATATGGCAGTGTGTCAAAACCCTGGTACCCCTGGTGAACCCCAAAATAGCTGGGATTATGTACTAATTATCAATTATCTGGGTAAATTATAACGACCTCACTGTTCTCCCTCACTGGAAATCATGGTTAGTAAATGTTAGTAAGCGAAATAATCCCCTTTTATGGCCGCAAGATTCAGGTTAGTGAAATATTATAATTTGCCCAGATAGATAAGTGGAATGACTGCTAAGTTAGTATACGTGGTTAGTGATTTGTTGGATGATTTATGTTGGATTCGTGGTTAGAAACCATACTTCAGCCTACTTGGATATCCTAACGACTCCGTTCCGCAGCAGGTGAAATCGATGGGCGGCAAATGGATCACAGTGGACTTCAAGGTGGGATTGGGTCGGCAGGAACAGGCCCTGAGTTGTTTAGTGGTTAAAACATGGTTAAGTTTTTTTTTTTCCCGGACGTTTTTCTCATTTGAAGCACCAGTTTGCTAGCAACCACCATCCTTTTTGGTGTATCATGGAATAGTCATTGAACCACATTGAACCACATTGAACCATGTTGAACCCGTCGGAAAAAACCGTCCTTTCCCACGGATTGCCGTAGGAAGATGGTGCTGGTGCGGGCGGATACGCAAAGGAGTCCTCCAAAGAGTTTCAGGAGGCGCGCCGCGGCGTGCCACTTGAGCAGCCAGATGCAAAAGTTGAGCAATGTTACCCTCTGGTAAACTAACATAGCTATGGAAAATCACCATGTTTAATGGGAAAACTCACTATAAATGACCATTTTCAATAGCTATGTTAGTTTACCAGAGGGTATGATGGGGTCAGACTTTTGTAACTGGGTTGATGGATGTTGATGGGGACTACCAGAAAATCATAGAAAATCCGGCAACTTGAAAGTCGTCCCTTCTGTAAAAGGCGCAGAAAGCAACCTTCCACAAGCATGCGAAGGAGTCGCTGGGCTGCACCGATTGCTTCACATATGTTCATGGTTTAGGGGGCCTGGCTTGTAATGTACCAGTGTTGGGATATTAGTACCGTTAGTGCAATGTGTAATCCGTTGAGAACACACATTTTTGAGGATACACTATGATACGATTGCATAACTGGAGAGCAGGCGCTGTAGGGCTTGGAAATTAGGGTTGGTGCCACTCAATTTATGATTGTAGGTTCTGTATGAGTACGTCTTTCTCCAGCATGTGGTTCTTCCCACGTGGTTGAACTGTTGCGTTTCCGGGACTATGTTGCTTGTTTTCATTTCAGAAGCCGCAAGAATGATGAGCTTGATCCATGCATCGCATGGACCGTGCTGTTGTTACCAATGCATCATTTTTGGATCAGAGATGATGCAAACGGCTAAAGAGCAAACACAATGGGGTTCCGTACTTTGTTTACAATATTATAGCATATTATAGTAACCCCCATAGTAAGATGCAGAAGAGTATTTCCAGGATGGATTGATGCTGTTTTCTCATGTTTTCTCCATCCAGGGTTTCCAACTTTTCGGCGGTGTCGACCAGACGCTTCTTTTTTAGAATCTGGAAGTGAAGCCCATGCCATGGCGACCCACATAAATTTTGATGCTTTAGATTCATGGTATGGATAGCCCACCCCATTTTTGTGGATGTTCATGAGTTTCATCTAGTATTATTTCTGATTTAAATTTATGTTCTCGTCCTCAATAGCTTATTCTAATGATTTTTAAACTTGAATAACATGCAAACACATGCTCCAACTTTTTTCCCTTTTTGACTTTACTTTTTTTCCCCCTTTTTTTCCCCCTTTGATTTTGCTTTTGAGTTTTTGGGATTTTGCTGATTTGCTTTTTGTTTTTTTCCGTTTTTTTTTTGCATTTGTCTCTTTTTTTTTGAAATTTGTTGATTCTTAGAATAAGCTATGGTCTGGTGAACATAATTTTAGATAAGATTCGCACTTGCCCGGATGTTTGGGTTCCATGTGTAGTTTCCAAGATGCACGCATTGATGTTCCAGTCCAAGAATTCAATCCAGGAAGTGGTTTGCATGAAAGGATCCTTAGAGTCTACAGTAGTGAGAGATGTGAGAGGACTCACATGTGGGTGGCAAGGAAGTTTTACTCGCCGCTAAGGGTGGACATCATCATCAGTACTGCTGCGATTCCAGGAAGAAAGTTGCCTGGCGACGCTAATCTTTCTCAGGGTTGCCTCTGGGATTTTCCCTGGTGTTTGAGTACAAGGGGGTAAGCACAAAGCCCAACTTAGGTAATGTTTAAACATGTTTAAACGATTCTTTCTCCTACACATGAATGCTCCCCAGGGTTTTTGAAAAGCGTGAACCGACAAATGATCACCCTGGGTTGCAAAGAGGTTCCAGCAGGTTCCACCCATGTGAAATCATTCAGCCAAATATATGGTCCATTGAACCACCTGGTGAATTTGTAGCTTTGTTTTGTGGCTCAAGATGGCTCAAGTTGAAAACCCTTTGAACACCCCAACAAAACCCGTGCTTTCGTTCATAATACTCTCCGTTAAAAATGGGGACACACAGCGACATATACATATATGATCATATATGATATGTACTGTATATATTTCTGGACAAGCCGATAATATGAACATGTTCAGGATGTTGTTCAACATCACCATGTTCAATATACCATGGTCTTGAAAGTTTCGATGCACCACCGAGCTTTAAGACGCGAATATCCATTGAACTACTGACATGTCAAGGGCTAAATCTACGTCGTTCATCAGCTTCAAAGATGGTTGGACACCATAGGTGCCTATATTTTGTTACTGGTTGGTGGTTTGGAACATGGCTTTTATTTTCCATTTCATATATGAGATGCCATCCCAACCCCATTGACGAACTCCATCATTTTTCAAGATGGTTAAAACCCACCACCAAGCAGATAAATATTACATAATATTACTGAGAATCATATAAACGTTTAGAAGAACGTTTAGGGGATCAACCAACCACATGATCAACCAGCTTATTTTCATCACCAACCAGATTACTATTCACCATAATTAACCATACAACAACCATATAATAACCATATATTAACCACTATTAACAGTATATTCTATCATCAATTCATTCACGTTTGGATTTACAGCCCTATCCTTCATGTTTGGATCCCCGCGAAATGGGATGTGAACAAAAAACCCACCGTTGAATCCGTGGGTTTTTTTGAAGGCGGCTATGGTGTTTCAAGCAGAAACATGGGATGGTGACCGCAGTTAGATTGGTTTCTAAACTCGCTGGAAAAAAATATGTACTATAACATATAAAAGAAAGATCTGTTGTCCTAGTTCACCTAGAAATTCCACCATACTGTAAGTCCGACTGTTCTCAAAATTCATAACATGGATCAGTTTACCGCAGTGAACATACCATAGAAAACCCATATTTTATATAAACCATTAAATTCCATAGAAAACCCATTAAACCCATATTACATCCCATATATCTACCATAAATATCTACCATCCCAAACGTTTTCAACGACCACGCGTCACGCCGCGTCGCCGCGCAGCGAGGTCACCTGTTTTGATTGAGGACTACATGGTGCTGCGATGTACTGTGGGGATGGTCCTGTTGGTAGTGGATGCAGTATATATATACACATATGTATATATATGTAATATGTATATGTATAATCATATATATATATACACATGATCATATATATATATATATATATGTATATGTATATATATATAGTAACCCCAAAAAAGATAGAACGGTGATATCTCATGATGTCTCACTAATTCGGGAGGAATTTACGTTTCGGCTTCTCTTTGGGGTTTCTATAGTTAGTGGTTGATGAATTTGCTTCGGTGTGGTTAATTACTAGAAGTTCATTGCGATAACTTACACAGAAGTCAATTTAGCGATGATTTGACTGTCAATTTAGTGAGGGTTCACTATTGAGCAATAGTCAATACACGGATTGTTCATGATGAATTAATCACCTTATTTGGGTATGGGTCAAAATTAGGTACCCCAATAATTGGATGGTGAATCCTCAACTAGACTAACACCTGTGGTCCCCTAGGTCTTCCATTTTGACCCACATCCGTTTGAATCATGGTTGAGCAATGGTTAATTGCTACTAATTGCTGCGGGATGTGTATCTGGCTTCATAGATGCCGGCAATGATGACCTCAAGGACGTCTCAAAGGAGTTGGGTGTCTGAAGAGTTTGCCTTCATACAACATGCACATAATATATATATATAGTATTATATATATATAGTATATAACATATATATATAGTATAAAGTATATATAATATGATATATATAATATATATATATATATATATTATCTATAATATAATACATATATATTATATATATGTGATATAATATAGCATAATATACAGTATATTATATTATATATAATAGAGTATATTATATATAATATATTATATTATATATATATATTTAGATCCTGATCAACCAATCATAACCAGTTTGCCAGGGGCCCGTGCCACGTGGCAACCGAGGTCAAAGACATGAAACCTGGAAGTGTCATCGTCGACCTGGCGGCCGCAGGTGGGCCTAGGGGATACCTGTGGGGATACCTATAGTATAACTACAGGGGATATATGGTGATTTTATGGTGATTTATGGTGATTTATGGTGATTTTATGGTGATTTATGGTGATTTTATGATGATTTATGGGGATTTTATGGTGATTTATGGTGATTTTATGGTGATTTATGGTGATTTTATGGTGTTTTAATGATGATTTTATGGTGATTTATGGTGATTTTATGGTGTTTTAATGATGATTTAATGGGATTTTATGATGGTGTAATGGTGATCTAATTGGATTTACCCTCTGGTAAACTAACATAACTATTGAAAATCACTATTCACCCCGCTTCGCGTGGGGTGGCCGCCCACACCGCAGGTTTATTTCGGTCCGTGAGAGGGGCTAAGGGTGGTTTTCCCCCGTGGGGGCTCCCCAAGCTAAGAATTTTAACTTCCCCCCCCGTGGGGGCTCCCCAAGCTAGGGAATTTTCACTTTTCCCCCCCGTGGGGGCTCCCCAAGCTAGGGAATTTTCACTTTTCCCCCCCGTGGGGGCTCCCCAAGCTAGGGAATTTTCACTTTTCCCCGTGGGGGCTTCCCAAGCTAGGGAATTTTCACTTTTCCCCCCCGTGGGGGCTCCCCAAGCTAGGGAATTTTCACTTTTCCCCCCCGTGGGGGCTTCCCAAGCTAGGGAATTTTCACTTTTCCCCGCCGTGACAGCTTCCCAAGCTATGGAATTTTCACTTTTCCCTCCCTTGGAGGCTCTCCAAGCTGCGGAATTTCAAATAGCTAGACAACGACGCCTAGATAGTCCCCCAAATCCCGTGTTCTTTGAATGTGTTTCCATGTTTTTGCAATGGTTTCCTTCAAAGCACGGTACTTTACACTTTTGTCGCCATAAAACCGGTCGAAAACATCATGTTCGACAATGCTTCCAATTCCCTTATCTCCCCAACCGTTGAAAATACCGCTATTTACAGTGTTTTCTTCAATTTTTCCATGTTCCAATGCCGGTAGCCAACTCCAACATATATATAAGAAATCCTTCCAAAACATTGTTTTTGACAGTGTTTTTCCAATGTTTCCAGTCAAACAGACGGTAATTTACACGTTTTTTGCCATAAAGGCAGTAAATCCTTCCAAAACATTGCTTTTGACAGTGTTTTTGTAATGTTTCCAGTCAAGCATACGGTAATTTACACGTTTTTTGCTATAACGTCAGTCCAAAACACTTGTTTTTGCAGTGTTTTCAATGCTCTGGCATCCAAAAACCCTGCAAAATCTTGCTATGTACAATGTTTTTTTTCATTTTTGGCCGTTTTTCCATTGCCGGAAAGCTACCAAAATGACCCAAAATTCCATTTCAATACCCTCTTGCGCTCAGACACCCAAAAATCCTCGAAAAATGTCGAAAACACCACCGTATTCTGGTCTCGGTGCGAAACCGTTTTTGGGCCCCCCCCCCCAGCTAAAGCTGATATAGCGACTGCTATATTAACAAATGTCATTGAGCATTTAGTGTTGCTGTTTTGCCCCCCAATAAGCACGCCTTCACCGCCAAAGCGGTGTGGGCGGATTTTGAATAGATAAATCAACTGTTTCTATGGTACATTTTCAATAGCAAACTGTTAAATCACCTATGGGGATACCTATGGATACCTCATACCCATAGTTACAATACTTTGAGTTTGGAATGGAGAAGATGATTTGAAAAAAAAACCGCTGGATGGGGAAATTCGGATCTCCCAAGTATGGCCCAACATGGACGTCCAGGCGACAGCAGGCATTGCTGGCTATGTCAAGTTACAGTAAGCCCATCCAGTCTCTGGATATTGGCTGGATACATATATGTATATATATATAAACATCCTGAAGTAGATGGAATATGGTTTTCCCACCGATATTCGCTGTTTAGTGCGTTCTTTTTTTTAAAGTTTCCATATTGTATCATATTCTATCTACTCCAGGATGGCTATAGTATGCTATAGTCATCAGTTGACCAAATAGCAATCAAATTTGTTTCAACCCCCCACCAGCACTGCAGCGATTCATAGCGATTCGTTAGCAGCATTTTTAAGTAGCGTTGCTATCCTGTGTTTAGGAGTATCCATATTCCCTATTAAATCGGAAGCCAAGGAGCCAGTGTACCCTCTGGTAAACTAACATAACTATGGAAAATAGCAATTTTTAATGGGAAAATTCACTCTAAATGGCCATTTTCAATAGCTTTTTGTATGTTTACCAGGCCGGGTAAGTACCCGTGTAGCTGACATTTGTTATCTGAATTGCCAATTGTTCGGTGTTTTTCCCCAAGAAATGGTGGTTTGTCATCACTAGCCCTATCAAGAGGTATCAATCTATGACAGGCTGTGAATCAAAACCCGGATATCTGGTTGGTGGTGACTGGAACATGGCTGGATTATGACTTTCCCATCATATTGGGAATGGAAAAATCATCCCAAGTGACTATTTTTAACAGAGGGCTGGGGTTGAAACCACCAACCAGATTACTGTGAAAACCATCATTAACCATCATTAACCACCAACCAACCAGATATAAATGGATGGCTAGGTATGTTGTTCATCCCCCGAAAGAACAAATTCGGTTCAACGATCCATCCCTAGTTCGATTCAGGCTTGAGAGAAATCTGCTCTCGTTGGATCTGGAAAAAACCGGCTCCAGTGGAATAAGGCTGTTCCACCCTAAACCCAAAGTCCAAGTGCCCACCCAAAACAGCTGGTGGGGAAAGCACCCATCAGAGTCAGAGTGGATAGAGTGGAACACTATAGAATTAATATAGGTATTCAATGGTACTCACCATTATTCACAAAAAATAAGGCATTCAATGGTACTCACCATTTCATCCATATTTTTCATTCCAATGTTGAATAAACATTTTTCATCCATATTTTTCCACAAAAAAGTGGGCAAATTTCATTCCCACAGGTGGCGGGAACTGCACGATGACGAAGTCAGGAGAGAAATACACCACTGAGAACGGCGTGGCTCGACAAGATGGTTTCAAAGATGGGGGATGGCTCAAAAGAACAAACTGAAATGGTGATTTTATGGTGATTTATGGTGATTTTATGGTGTTTTAATGATGATTTAATGGGATTTTATGATGGTTTATTGGTGATCTAATGGGATTTACTCTCTGGTAAACTAACATAGCTATCAAAATCACCATTTCTAATAGCGAAATAAACTATAAATGGCCATTTTCAATAGCTCTGTTAAATTACCAGAGGGTAATAATAATTGGTTACACACCGGTTATTTGGAGCTTAATAATGATTCTTTTTATTATGATTTTTCTATGATTAATAACGGATTTTTACTGTCAAGCATAGTGACAATTGATGGGGATATGATGGGATTACCCTTCTTGCTAAACTAATCTAGCTATGGAATCTATGGGCCATGGCTAATTCGATGATGTACCCATTGTTTCATGGTGATTTTCTATAGCTATTTGCTGGCTTATTGGAGGGCACCAATTTCTGGGATTTTTCTGGGAGATAATGGGAAGGGATAACTGGGAGATTCTTTGGGAACATCATGGAACGGGACAAGAATTGTGGTACCAAGATTCTCGGATCATCATGTGATATAGTGAAAAGGGGATAAAGATTACGTGTGTCTGGAAATGGTGGATACTGGTGCCAAATGGCCATCGTAGGGAAAAGGATGAGGGCAGCCAATCTGAGGGTAGCCTATTTTCAAACCCTTAAACTGACAGTTTCTTGGCCATAAATCAGGAGTTCACCAACCAAGAGTTGCGGGATCTCATTGAAATTTAAACAGCATGGATGGACGTTTCAGCCAAGTTGTTCATCCTCAGCCACAAGATTTCGGGATGGTCTCCAATGATACCGTCATAGTTCTACACTATTCATCCCCTTGATTTTGTGGTGGGAAAATAGGCTGACCAGCTTATACCTAAACACTCAGTTTTTGGTTGCGAAGAATCTACACGGTCATCGGCCGATTAGGGGAAAGCTCTACTTTTGGAGATTTAAGGACCATGGCTAGATACAGATTTATCATTATTTATCCAATCTACAAAATAATGGGTATATACGATATGTTAGATTGGATAAATAATGATAAATATTGGGTTGTCATTTTATATCATTATAACCCAATATTTAACATTATGTTTTCAAGAAACCTTCAAACCTTGGGCCAGTAGCAACTGGCCAAAAACCACGTTATTTTCCTGGGTGTATTGGATTGACCCCGGGTTGTATATACACCATTTTCAGACCCAAATCATTCAAATACCGCTATTAGTACCCTCTGGTAAACATACAAAAAACTATGGAAAATCACCATGTTCAATGGGTAAATCCACTATTTCTATGGCCATTTTCAATAGCTATGTTAAATTACCAGAGGGTATCCCATATTATATTCCCACTCCATATGGATATTTATGGATATTTATGGTTGGTTCAAAAATTAACAGGCTCTAACCCCATATCAAATATACCGTTGGTCTAGTTTTTCATTTGATTCTCGGCCAGCAATGTGCCGAAAGCATCCCAGCATGTACAGGAAAGACCCCCCAGCTACTTAGATTCTATTTGTTGATATCTTTGTGGATAATGATATTATGATATTATATAATATATTTATATATATATAACATATAATTATATACCTTCCATGTTTTTTCTGCAGCTATGTTCGTTGGTTCACGACCCCATCCAACATCATCTATATGGATACATTCGCAAAGCTCATGGTTCGCCTCCACCGGTTACACAACTTTATTGAGGACGCAAGTTCCATGCGGAGAATCGCTTAGGAAGGCATGACTTAGGCGTGACTTCTTGGATACAGCGTTTACAATGGTAAATGCCATTCAAAAACATACTAGGCATGACTTAGGCGTGACATAGTCGATTCCCTGTACAGACCAACTTACCTATTGTTTTTCGGGTCCCTGTCCTGTGCGTCCTCCAAATGGCGATAGCACCCCCCAAAAATGACGAAAAACACAGATTTAAACATTCGCCCCTAACAAATATCCTATGATATATATATATATATATAGAGGTTTCCTGAAATAGGGGGACCCCCCAGTCATCATCCATTTTCAACATTTTCATAGGATTTCCCATGATAAACGAATATTGAGTTGAGTAGGGAACTCCAAGAGTTCCTATGAAAATGGCTACTCCCAATATTTCAGGTACTCAATATTTCCCGTTATAAACGATCCATTTTCAATGGGAATTTCAGGATCCTAAAATGGAGGTACGTTAGTACCATATAAGGCCATATTTTGGGGGTATATTCCCTTACATAGGCCTAAAAAATAGGCCAAAAATATATGGAATCGGTACCTCCAATAAATCGGTTCCTGGAATGGCCATTGACATTTGGGAGTACCCACGAGTACCCCCATTCCGAGCCGCCCAAGGTGACCATCATCGGATACACGGATCTGGCCGGCCGCATGGGGATGCAGGCCTCGGCCATGCCCTTTGGCACGGCGCACGGCACGGTGAAGCCATGATGTTGACCAAAAAGGGATCTGGATAAACCAGAAAACTTGGGAACTATAATATAATATAGTATCATACTATCATAGTATAATCATATTAGATATATTTGAAATATAGACATACTATCCTATATATATAATGATATATTAGAAACCTATCATAGTATAATTAGTATAATCTATCATGACATAATCTAATGGTTAATAGATGTTAATAATAATGTGGCTAAAACAATGCCATAAACCCATGACTGGTAGTGGTTTCTAGATAGCACCTATAAAAAAGTGTTTTTTTTTTGATGGTTTATGGCATTGTTTTACCCACATTAGGAAGGAAATCTTCCGAAAATCGCCGAAGGATTTTTGTGAAGTATGACCATTGACCGGAATCGTGGACTGTTTTTTTTTGAATATGGGATAATCATGGGATCACATGGGAAGTTATGAGGCGATTTGGAGTAAAGCCATCCCCAATTTTGGTTGTTCTGGGGTAGATGGTGTACCCATAGATGATGCATGGGTCTAGTTTTAGCGGCGCGGGGGGATGTCCTGACATCCCCCAGCTGACCAAGAGGGCTCACTGTTCATCCACCGCTTGCCATTACCATTTTCTTTTCGCTGCTCGAATCCTCTTTTGTTTGGTCGAATGTACCTTGCTTAGGCTTGAGACAACATTGGGATCGAGCAACAGTCAAGTCCCCCGACATAACCAATGCTTGATACGACCCATTTCAGAGTAAATTCCCAATTTTGTTCTGAACTTCCCTGGATTGGTGGATTAAGATTTGCAGAAACCACTTGTTGGGAAAGTGGACTCATGTTCAATGCCTTACTAACACATTTAACACACATCTTAGTCCAGTGAGTGGTAAGATGTTGTAGCCACGAAGCATCTTTCATGCTGACAAATTTGATCATATTGATCCGAAATGACTATATGAATTGTTGGTGGGAGTGGCTTAACCACTAATTATATATGTTCAATGGTTTCATCATTTTCACCTAAAAAGTTGTAGGATGTTGTAGGATTTGTATAGATTTGTCCCAAGTGAATGACACTTCCCTAAATGTGTTGACTTCAAGGTGTTTTTGTCACTGTTTGCCTGGCGTCTCAGGTATGCCACCAACATGATGCACATGGCAACTCCGACGGGATTTTTGCGAGGGTCTTCCATCAGGAGGTAATCCCCCTAACATGAACCCCTCCCATCAACCATGGTTTACTAAGCGATTTACCCTCTGGTAAACATACAAAAAGCTATTGAAAATAGCCATAGAAATAGTGGATTTACTTATGAAAGATGGTGGATCTTTCCATATTTTGTTGTATGTTTACCAGAGGGTACACATGTTTGGGACCATACAGTGAGCGTATGGAAATATTAGGGGGACGGACGGGATTGCACCACCAGCATTGTCCACATCACCAATCTGAGTTGAAGGGCCCTATAAGTTGACTTGCACCCCCCAAATAAAACAAATGGAACCCACAGATTGCCATATGGCTATGGATCAATACCTATAAAAATACCATTTTTAGTGGGATGAACATCCATGTTAACCCAGCTATTTTGATGTGAACAGAAGGGGTACTATTGGTTTTGACACACTGCCATATAAAAATCCAGAAATCATCAGGCCCCATAATTTTGGGGATGCTGGAAAAACCCAACTCGTCGAGGTGAACCACGTCACGGGGAAGGAGGGAGCCGAAGCCTTCATGCCCAACATGAACAAAGCCCTGGCATCCGATGAGGCGCTCCATGGCCGGTGCTGCACTTGGCTAAAGATGTGCTGAAAACATGGAACAACTGGTCCATGTTCCGACTCACTTCGAGTATTTTTTCTTTGAAATTGGAGCTAGCTTTCTGAAAGATCAGGATTCGCAGTTGCAAAGAATCAACATTTTTTCTGTAATGGTTTGGAACATGGCTTTTATGACTTTCCATATGTTGGGAATGTCATCATCCCAACTGACTCAGTCCATCATTTTTCAGAGGGGTAGGTATACCACCAACCAGCTTTTCACATCATATAGATATATCACAGTATATCATGTTATATCCCACTATATACTACTAACTTTCCCCCGGGCCACGGCCATACGGCCACCTTAACGAGCCAGGGAGACATCGTTGTGAAGTCCATGGTCTGCTGCAAGGACGGTGAAAGAACTGTGGAAGTTCAATGATCCATTGACAATTAAGTATCATTAAGAACATCAACTATCAAACAATCTTGGATAGTTAAGAAATGTTAAGAATTTATAGATATTTAGCTATAATTGCTATAATTATTGAAATGTTGGTTTAAATTCAAAGGCACCATGTTTTGTGTGTGTTCGTTTCTGAAACAATGATCCCTTCAGAATTTTTTACACCAGGACGGTCAGCCGGTCGTGGCGCCGCCGCCGCCCGAACCCACGCCGGTGAAGAAGAAGGACGGGGGTTGTTGGGTTTGCCCAAACACATTTGAGGGTCCCCCGGTCCATCAAATATCATCATAGATAATCATCATATCAAATATTTTTCATATAAGCATAGATGGTTCTGGATATGTGTAGTTTAACAGTTTACATGGATGGATAATTATCATTACTAGAAATCGTTTATCGTTTGGGGGTTTTTCACAAATGGGTACCCCAAAATCAATGGTTTATAATGGAACATCCTATGAAAATTCATGATTTGGGGGTAATTACGGTAATTACCCATATTTTGGGAACCCTCCATATTTTAATATTTTTCCTATGAAATCGGACAGATGTCAGGCCACACAGGGCATTAAGTTGATTCCCAATTAGTTCTTGAAATGCAATAGTAAAATTCGTGGAATCATTATTTTCCTAGTGAAAAAGGCAAACTGACGCACCCCAGGTCGGATCGGAACCATCAGGATTTCGGCAGATGGTGTGTTCTGTTAAACCATTCCAAATCCTATGGTTCGTCATCATGTTCCTTACTAAAAAGATAACCATAAACTGGTTCAATCTCCCATTCTTCAAACACAAAGATGGGTATCAGGTAGAGTTATATCATGTTATATCACCCATGAAGAGCCACATTTTTTCCTATCTTTTCCCAAAAAAGTTGCAATTTTGGCTGCCCATACCTCCCTTTCCCCAGGAGCCAAAGGTGGAGAAGGCTGCTGCGGTGATTGATCCTGAGGCGGAGGCGCCTGACAGGTTGAATGTTCCATTGGTTGATCATAGGATATGGACCATATGGAGGAATAGATAGGGAAACTATGGGAACATATGGGAAAACATAGGGGAATATATCGAACATATTGGAACATATAGGAACATCTAGGGGGAAAATCTGGGAATATATGGTAAACTATAGGAACATATAGGCATAGAGGAAAATATGGGGTACCCCCAAAATGGATGGTTTTTAGTGGAAAAGCAGAAAAACAAAAACAGAAATGGATGATTTGGGGGTACCCCCATTTCAGGAAACCACCATATGGATAGGAGATATTAGGAGATGATATATATATATAATATATAGGAGATTGTGATATCCGAATATGACATATCCTAGTGATCATCGAATTGATTGGAAATTGATGGTCAGAATAGTGTTGGTTGATCATCAAGCAATGGGCTAGTTATGATCATGTGATGTCAGGTAAATGTTTGATGATGTATAATAAATTAATTTGTGAAATATTTTCCAGCAAATGATAATTGAGGAGTATCCAGATGAACTATTTTCCAAGATATGATGTTTTTCATGTTCCATTGGTTTCTATATAGGATATTAATAGGATGATAATGAAAATCAACCAAAACTGAAACATGTTTCTAAGCTATCCCTATTCGACAGATGATTATCATACTGTTGGTTGATGATGAACCATTGGGCTAATGATGGTAATGTTTTCAATCATTGGGGTGTGACTAGATGGTTGCTTAAGCCACACAAACTCCTGAGGTATGATTTCGAAAAGATGTTTCTAGCTCATGAAATAGGATATATAGTGGGTAGTAAAATATCCTATGATAATCAACCAATATTGTTCAACCGCCCTATTGATGATTATAATATATTTGGATTATAGGATATGACTTTATAACATTTATTCATACATATTCTATATAACCCACTATATTGGGGAATATCACAATGCATGAACGGGAAGTCCCGTTCTCAACCAGCCAGTCGAACGGTTCAGGCCAAGCAAACCAGCGCAGCCGTTGCAGGCGATCGGAGACCGTTGGGTGTTGCGAAAGATCTCCTGGAGAAAATCGAATATGGAAATCAGAGACATCTAAAATGGAAAAACTCTTGAAGATTCCATATATTCTATCTACTTCAAGACGATCCCAATATAACTAGCATTACATAGCCAACATTTAGCAGTGGCAGGCACTTCTGCCCTGGCCATCGGTGCCAGCTTGGGCGGAGATCCAGGTCGTTGTTCTGGGGACGTCCGGAGTTTGGGGAGAAAGTGGGAGAGATCCAGGAAAATGATGGCATATGGGTATGGATCAATACCTATTCATACCATTTTTAGGGGGATGAACATCCATAAATCCCAGCTATTTTGATGTGAACTACAGGGGTACTATTGGTTTTGACACACTGGCATATGGGGATTGGAATTAGTAGGGAAAATGGGCCCCATTCCCATGAAGACTGCGGATTTGATGAGGGAACATGGGGGATTCTTCATCAGAACGTGGGGGATTATTTTTTTGGGAAGGCGGTGGATTTTAATTTGGATGATACCACGAAAAATGCAGATTTGATGTGGGAGAATCTGGAATATATGGATATCATCGGGAAAATAAATTCACTATCATCCGATTGGGTGTGTCTGAGGCTATGGGACAACTGGCAACATTGCCATTGAACAACACATACTGAACTGTATTTCAGCGGAGAAAATGATGATGGAATGATGGACCAGGATTTTGAGATGCCATATTTTCTCTGCACACCCATGTAGCAATAGAGAAATGCGTAGCAAAAACATGCAAAAACGGGGATAATGGAAAGGCACATGCATTTGAATTCATTTAGCACACCTTCCGGTAATCAAACGTGGCAATGGAAAACCGCAGGTACATGAAGGGTTTAGTGACAGTGGGAAAATCATTTATAAATGATGGCTTTTCCATTGCCACGTTTGATTGCCGGCGGGCAATTGCTGAGTGAAGCAAGAAGCAAATAGGGGCTTATAATTATATTGTTACATCGCCAAACATGGGGAAGCGCTCAGAAATAGCTTGGTCGGTTTGGTTTCTGAAATGGTCATCCATAGCGTGGTTCTCTGGCGCTAATGTTTTCAGATTTTGACTGGTTGGTGGTTTCACACATTTTTTATTTTCCATTTCATATATGGGATGTCATCCTTCCCATTGACGAACTCCATCATTTTTCAAGATGGTTATTGCACCACCAACCAGTTGATGATCTCCAAAGAAAAATCAAGGATCAACTTCTACAGTACCTGTTGGATGCTTCCCTTTTGCATCTATCCCCTGGTGATTTTATCGCCGAGATCTCACCGAATTAATCAGCTATATTCAGCGGTTTTTTTCAGTAGCAGTGGATAATACTGTATTGAAATATACAACAACCCTCATGAAACATACCATCCCCTCTCCAAGTTTTAAGACCAACTTTGTCCCACATCGCCATTGTGGGTTGGTCAACGAACCTATTTTGATCCGAAAAAACAACAACAGCAGTATGTATAGTTAGTTGGTTAACATACGACTTCCAGGTAGGAAGTGGCTAACAACCCTTAATTTTCATCATCCAATTCCGCCGGGTGCCAGTTGTTCCAGTCATTTCTTCAAACTGTGATCCCCTAAATTTCTCTAAATCTCAGAATCTTGGTGACTCCGCAACCTCCAAAAGCGGGGCCCTGGAAAATCCAGGCTTCATCGCGATGCTGAACACCTTCGGCCTGGCGGGTGCGGCCGGGTACCAGGTCGTCTGGGGCGTGACGCACGCGCTGCACACGCCGCTCATGGCGGTGACCAATGCCATCAGCGGCCTGACAGCGGCCGGAGGCCGCCAGGGGAAGCGGTGGGATGGAACAAAGCCATGGGCAAAACGAGGCTTTAACCATGGTTTAAAGCCAGTTTTTTTTTAAATTTTAGATGGAGATGAAGGATGATCTTGGTATCAATATATCATCATATATCATACCTATATCTGCACGCATTATAATCATTATATATATATATATACATCAATATTGTATGGGATTATATATGTAACTGTATATAATATCTAACATTATATAACCCATATTTATAGATGCATTGAAAAAATCAAGCCTATAAACAAGAGACACTGATCCCAACGGACTTTCCATGACCAAATGGGGGGGTTGAAAGTTGAAGTTTCACCAACCAGTCACCAGATCAAACACATAGATTACCCTCTGGTAATTTAACATAGCTATGGAAAATCACCATTTTTAATGGGAAAACTCACCATAAATGACCATTTTCAAGAGCTATGTTAGTTTACCAGAGGGTACTATAGTTCACTGATAAACGCATAAAAGACGTGGGATTGAACTACAATGAAGGCTCAATGACTGTAGAAAAAAACCATCATGAAGATCCGGAAATGGGATGGTGAAACCCCAACGTAACTGGGTGGTTCAAGTTACAGTAGGGCTTGGATGTGCTTCGCAAAAAATCTGTGAGAAACATGGGGGCTTAAGGAAGAGAACTGGGTTTTCTTGGCTTTAGCCGGCAAAAAGATCATAGGATATCATAGGATACACCTGAGATATACCGACGCAATTTCTGAGGTCCGAAAAAAAGAAGTCTGAACCATGTTGATGTTCAATGTCCCAGTTCCAAAAAAAGAAGAATGAAGGCTTAAAATCAGGACTCGACTTTCTACCGCTGGTGGGGTGCCAGGTCTGATGCTGATGGGCACAGGTGGTGGTCTGATGGCACAAGGACTGGCGCAGGCGCGGCCTGGCTAGCCAACTGATCTTCTTACCGGTATTTTCATGTATTTTCCATTTCATATATGGTGTGTCATCCTTACCATTGACGAACTCCATCATTTTTCAAGATGGTTCAAACGCACCACCAAGCAGTCAATCTTTTGGGCTTCCAGATGCTGATCTAACTGAAGCCGACAAAATTGCCAAATTCCACCGGATTGTGTCTTCAACTCTTGGCCGAGTTCACCAGTGATTTGAAACCAAAAAAACAGCAAGAATCCAACTTTTGGATACTTTTGGGCCCTTAAAATCATCCATTTTATCCATTTCATCCATTTCATCTTGCTGAGCTCCGCTCTCCTTCAGGCTTCTGTGGGCATCTCTGCTGTGAACATTGCGGGTGGCTTTTTGGTGTCCAAGTCGCATGAGGATGGATGGTTGAGGGATTATAGATTATATATACTAGCCCTTGGTAGGGGATTATACTAGCCATTACTAGCCAATATAGACTAGGGAGGGATATCTAGGGATTATAATGGGTTTTATTTACATATTTTAATCCAATCGGGAAATCCCGAACTCTTAACCAACCAGTTTTTTGAATGACAGGATTTTTTTTCAACACTGCCCAAATACAAGAGCTCAAAACCTGGAACCATCCCAGAACAACTTTTCCATTTTTTTTTCGGGGGGGCCTACATATACCATATCTTGGGGAGAGGTTCCACATCAACCAGCTAAACTTTGGGGTGAACAGGTGCCGGGCACCAGGTTTCTTAAAATGGGAGGTACCCCAAATCGAAAAGGAGACCGAAGAGGACCAGTTTTGTATCGACACCAATCGAACCCATGGTGAAAACCCTAAACCCCTTCTTTTAAAAAACCTATGTATATGATTGATTATGATTGTATATGGGTAAATAAATTACTTAAATTACTGTATAATGACCGGGTGGTCCAATATTATTAGATATGACCAACCATCGTGGTGTGAAACACTGGTTGGCCCTGGTTGGCCAACCATCAATCCCATCCCCTCAACATTCACCGGCCCCCTGGCTGTCCCACATAGTTTTTTGTTTCGAGCCCCTACAGCCACCATGTTTTTTTTGGTGTTTAATATGATACCCTCTGGTAAACTAACATAGCTATTGAAAATTGCCCAGTCGAAATAGTGGATTTCCCGATGAAAAATGGTGATTTTCCATAGTTATGTAAACGTTTACCAGAGGGTATATAGGGGGAAAACAAAGATCTCCTTTGGATGTTCTTCTGATGATTATATGATTTACACAAACAATTTGAAATTCCCAAGATATTCAAACTGATTTTTTTGGGGTGGCTTCCCCATATTAAAAAAACAGTTCTGGTTTCCCTGGTTTTTCCTTGGGATTTGCCACGTCCCCAGGTGACAAAGCGAATGCTGGATCTCTTTCGAAAGCCTGGAGAGGCGTCTGACGAGAAGCCACGGATCTGACGATCTGAATGGCTTCAGAAGCCGCAGAAAAAAACAACTGATACCATCTGGTTATGACTAACATAGCCATGGAAAATCCCTGATAAATGGAGGTTTATAGCTGGGAAAATCATCTATTTCTATGGGCCATTGTCCATGGCTAGGTTAAATAACCAGAGGGTAGCTTATCATAGTGAAATGAGTTCAGTTTATCATCATTTTTTCGGTTTATGAAGTTATCATCATTTTTCCTGCGGAAAATGCAAAAAAAACAAAAGTTTGACACAAAGCCATCCGTTTGGGTTGGCCTAGATTTTTCATTGCTGGTTTTGGGGCTTTCTTCACAAAAATCTTCTTTGGGACGAAGTTTTGCCGGGCTGGGGGATTCAGGATGGGTTACCCTCTGGTAATTTAAGATAGCTATTGAAAATGACCATTATTAATGGGTAAATCCACTATTTCTATGGCCATTTTCAATAGCTATGTTAAATTACCAGAGGGTATCCAGACCCTTGCTGGTTGGTGGGCACAAACAAAGTCCTATCTGGGATGATGATCCCAATTGACTATCGGGATGGTTTGAAGCCACCAACCAGCTTGGGAATAATCCCAGCACGAACCCAAGAAAAGGTTGTCCTTGGAACTTGACAGATGTTATGATCACTTTTTGGGTTCAATGATTGGTTTTAAGGGATGTAATCATGTAAATCCCACAAAAAATATAACCCCGGTGGGTCAAGTAATCTTTTTTCAGGCCTCCTTTCCAATCCTTCTTCGGAGCCAGGCAGATTACACTACCATCTATTTGTTGCCAGCAGCAGGATTGGCGGTCCTCCAGCTGCATGGTGTGGGGTGGAAATGCGTTTCGCATGTAAGACCTGAGAGATAAAAGGATGTAAAAGGGATTTTGCTGAGATATTGAAGGAAACTTGCGATGGGTATGCCATTGGTGTGTCAGAAAATAGGGATGTACCCCTGAAACGGCGATTTCAATATGGAAAGGAACGCGGTGGGATGGAACGGGATACAAGCGGGGTGACCCATATGTTTTTGATTTCTTTTTATTATACTTCAACAATTATTTATATGATACATAGAACATGATAGAAGTACTACTTGAGTTGATTTAAGCCATCATTAGATACCAGTCCTCTGTGGAAAGCATGTCACAAACATCCAGGCAAATCCAGCCCGTTCAGAGGTGGTGCCTTTTGCCCTGCCTGCAGCAGCACCTACCGTGGGCACTCTCTCAGGCCAGGTTCCCATGAAGTTCTGCTGCCTTCAAATCCACTTGTTTTGTGGTAATATTCCGTATTACCCACGAAATAGCAATGGATTGGGGTGTATTTGTTCATATGACGCAAACAAATGGTGAGAAAAAGTAGTTTCAGACACGCTCATCTCGGGAAATTGTAACGACCTCCCTGCGAGGTCGCTAGAATGATGGTACCCTCCGGTAAACTAACATAGCTATTGAACATGGCCATTTATAGTTGATTTTCCATAGCTATGTTAAATTACCAGAGGGTAAATTACGTAGAATCATCCTCAGAATGGCCTCACTTCACATTGCAGGAGTGTCATCCTTATTTTTTTCATATGATTTCTCCAAAGAATTGATGTTCCTTGGCCCGTGGCACCAAAACCATGGGTTTTCAGACACAGCCCATGGTATTCACAAAGACCAAAAACTGTGCTTGTGAAGTCCTGCCCTTTTGGATGGTTGAAACATGTTGAAAGCCTATGAATCATGTAATGCCCTCTGGTAAACATACAACAAGCTATTGAAAATGGCCATTTATAGTTGATTTCCCCATTAAAAATGCTGATTTTCCATAGTTATATGATGTTATGTGGCTGTTTACCAGAGGGTATCATGGGAAAATGCACCACCTTGGATGGTTTCAACGGTTGAAGCCCCATAAATCATGGGATGTACAAACCACCTGTCAACGGGTCATTTAGACCGCAGGTCTGATGTGCATCGGTGCCATTGGCGGCCTTTCGCGCCTCGAACGCCAGTGGAGAGTTCTTCAGAACGGATGTCATTGATACCAACATGGGAGAAGTGCCAAGAAACCGAAGAACCAATGCTTCTAATCACAGATTTGGCAGTTTTCGCATGCTTGAACCAAGATCATTTGGGATTAGAAGTGCCCCCAATTGAGAAAATCAGTGAAATGTGATTGTGGACACAATCAGAACTTATCGCTGCGTTTACAATCTCCACTACGCTGTACATTCAATTAGTTCTGTAGATCATCCCTGTCTTATAAGATGTTATAAGTGGGGATGTAAACCCCATTGGCTACAGTTATAATGACCATAAACCCTAGTTACACGAGTATATACAAGTCATAAACCAAGTTATAAACCAACTTAACTATCATTCATCAACTCTCAACTACCCTCTGGTAATTTAACATAGCTATTGAAAATGGCCATTTATAGTTGATTTTCCCATTAAAAATGGTGCTTTTCCATAGTTATGTTAGTTTACCAGAGGGTATACAACAATCCCCGGAGTTTTGCTGAATTTCCCGAAAAATCCATGACATTCCCAGATTTTTTCCCTTAAAATCCCAAGAAAAATCCCCGAAGGTCCCAGAAGACGGCGCAGTTCGGCCTGGCCCTGGGCGTGACGGGCGTCACAGGCTGGAAAAAAACGGAAGAAACACCCAGAGATGTGCTACAAAAACCATCAAAAAACCATTAAACAACCATCAAAAACCATAAAAAACCATCAAAGACTCTAGACCATCAAACACCATCAAAAAACCATCAAAAACTATTATTAAAACAATCAAACAACCATAAAAAGCTATTAAACATCAACCAACAATCATGAAAAAAAACAATAACATCACATCAAAACAACAATCAAAACACCATTAAAAAAAACACATCAAAAACCGTCAAAGAACTCTGATATGCCCCCTATGACAATAACAAAATATCATCCATTTTTGTTGTCAACCCCCCCAAGAAAGATAGAAACCTGATAGAAAAAGTGATAAAACAGTAATTTGTCCGCTCTTTTTGTAGGATTTTACTGTTCTACTATATTTTGTTTTTGGCTGTGCAGTACATGGGATAGAATGATATCATACATGGGACACATGTATATACATATCGATAGATATGTGAAAATTCTTGGATATTTTTGGAAGTGTGGCGATGGGATACATGATACTTGTGCATGATCAACATTCAACACGTGAATTATATTAATTATACAGTACAAGATACTTCTTTTGATACAATTTCACTGGGATATTGCTAGCATGAACCACCGATAAGCCGGTCATGTTTGGTGGGGTAATATCACATCATTATCAAACAGCCCATGAAACCATCCAAACCAATGTACAAGTCATGATGGTCATGGGAAGATCACCAATCTCCACGGGCAACTTTAATGATTCGGTCTGAATTTCAGCCAAGACACATGGGTTGGGTCTGGGGGATTGGGGTTCTTGAGATCCAAGCGTCATGATTTTCTCCGTCACCAAGGAGGGTTTGGGGTTTCCAGCTTTGAAAGCCACCAAAATGATAGGCTCGTGGCATGGCCCAAGGACCTCATCAATTTGGGGATACCCAAATTTCAATACGCTGATTTTCAACGATGTGCTTCACTAGTCAAAAAATATATCAGGACTGCTAAACCGCCCTTAAATGGTGACTGGTTGGTACCATCTGGTTATTTAACATAGCCATGGAAAATGGCCCATAGAAATAGATGGCTTACCTATTAAAGATGGTGATTTTCCAGTTGGCTATGTTAAATAACCAGATGGTAGTTTCAAGCCCTGAAACATCTGAGTCATTGGCGATCAGATCAGCATAGCTTGCCGCAAGCCAGGCGCCATGTCAATGACGCTGGCAGCGCTGCCATCGGGTCAGGTCTCATCTTCGTCGGCTGGCATTTGGCTTCATGCCCCATGGGAGATACTCTGGAGTAAGAAAACATACGAATGGGAATTTACCTGTGGCAAGATAACTCTGGTACAGTATATCATAGTATATCCAGATATTTCTCCCACAATTCTATCCATAAGATTCCATCAATGGATGACTTTTCCAGTGCCTGGTTGGAATTCACGTGTGGCTGGTTTCATAGAATTGGATGATGGGAAAATTTACAGGAAAGCCCTATATTTGATGGTAAAAACCATGGTTTCCTGTAGATTTTCCCTTAAACCAATCCATTGATGGTTGCATTTTCCATTGGCTGTTGTTCCTCAGCAGTTCCTAGGTGTAGGAAAGACCACCCTATGCAGATCATGTCCGTAGGTTTCTCCATAGGGTTTCCGCATATCTATGTCGGAAAAGAGAGCCGCAGCCCGTAGGGGGAGTGAATTTTTCGTGGGAAAATGATAGAAGATCGAACAATGGCATCATTCTCCAAGGATCAAAATTACCACGACCTCACGGGATAAATAATCATAAATAATCCATAGAAAATCCCTTCCCCCGAATATTACAGTCCCCAAAGGAAACCATTGGACCATGGTTTTTTGTAGGCTATTTCCACATAATTGGAACATAGGACCCTAGGGATGGGAAGATCCACAGCTAGACCCCCCAGCCCTCGCCAGTTGGCACCTGCCCTTGGCCTTGTTGCGGCCGGTGGAGCAGCAGGCTTTGGTCTGGGCAAGGCGGGGATGTGGGAAAATGATGGGGACATATGGGGAAATGGTGGGAAAATATCGGGAAAATATCGGGACATTTATCCATGTACCCCCTTCATCTTATGGAAAAACACATGTGGGAAAAGTATGGGGAGCATGTTTGAAAACGCTCATCAACCAGAATTGTTTTGGGTTACCCTTCCGAATCAAACATGGCAAGCTGGAAATCATTTGTAGATGATTTTCCCAATTTAAATGCTCCTTTGCTGAGATTTCCCAGCCAGGAGGGTAACTTTGGGCGAACCGTGGTTTGGAAAGATGGCTTCATTTTGGGGAATTGGTTATGCAAGATCGGCCATGTTTCGGATGCTGTGGGACAAGCAATATAAAGAATCTCCACCGCCTCAATCAGCCAAAAGTGGTGAACAATTCTCCATTTTTGGGGAAATTTGGGAGACCAATTTGAATGATAAATCCATCTGTTTCGCCATTCAAGTGCCTAGTGGATCATGATGGTGCATTCCAGTTATGGAATAATAGTTGCAAAAAATCGCTTATTAAATCTAACCACAGTTGCTACATCCAGTTACCTATCACTAGTTTATATATACCATTATATACCGATTGTATACCCATAGTCACTTCAACCACTGAATAACCAATAACCATGAACCACTATGGATCATTATACTATATAGTTTCTATATGTAGTTTCTATGGATTATGAACCACATAACATCCTTAACAACCATAGCAGCTATGGATCGAAAATGGCCTCCAGGCCGTCAGTCCTATGGCGCTCCCGCAGACGGTGGCCGCCTTCCATGCGCTGGTGGGCGCCGCAGCGGCGACCCGGAACGGAACATGTTCGGGGAAGGGAAGGGAACGGAACATCCAGTTGGGGATGGGTCAAAACCTCTTCTGCTTGGTGGTGACTGGAACATGGCTGGATTATGACTTTCCATATATTGGGAATGTCATAATCACAACTGACTCATATTTTTCAGAGGGGTTGAAACCACCAACCAGTAGTAAATTTTCATATCTTTGGCATATCTTTGGGGAATAACATGGAATAAACATGAATAAACCATCCATAACTCATTGCCTCATAGCCATTTCAGGATATGATTGGCATATATTTTGGGGAATAACCATCCATAAGTATCCACAACTGCCATTTCGGGAGCTTTCCTAAGTCATGGGGGTGCCCCAACAGCTGGATGGATTGAGCATCATGGAAAATCCGATGAGGAACGGGTCAGGTGGCGGAATTATAGTGACCTCACTGTGACCTCACTGTGACCTCACTGTGACCTCACTGGAATCATAAATAGATGGAATCATCCCGAGTCTTATTTCAGGTTAGTGAAATATTATCTGGTTGGTGGTTTCAATCATTTTTTTTTATGTTTCCATCTATTGGGAATGTCATCATCCCAACTGACTCATATTTTTCAGGTCAACTACCAAACAGTTATGATTACCCAGAAATTGGGGGAAGGAATCTCCAGAAATAGCACCGAATTTTTAAGGGGTGAAGGTGCCCGGGCACCCAGGGTTTTGATCAGCCATAGCCATCTGATTTCACAATGAATCATGATAGAAATGAAGCATTTAACCATCAAACACTGGGGGTTTAACCATTAAAAATAAGGATATGTAACCATCAAACATTGAGATGTACGCATGAAGAATGGGGCATTTATCATTTGGAGTGGCCTTTTGCGGATGAAGTGACAAAACCACACAGGTCATGGGGGTATCATGGGGATACCATTGGATTTCCCCAATTTTAGAGTAGCATAGACATGGAATAACATACATGGGTGAAGTCGAGGAAATGATCGACTTTCACGGTGAATTTTCATGACATTTCCATGTCAATGTTAGTTTACCATTCCCCCCACTAGCATAGATCCCATCAAAATGGGGGTTGAATGCTTCGTTCCTCTGAAAATGGGTGATTCTCATGGATGGTGGCCATGAAACAATGACTAAACATGAGAAATTTAACCAACAACAATGGTCAATTATGTGCTTAACCTTTGGATGTAGGTAAGACATCAAAAGTGGGATGATGGCAGGAATTGTGGCCCACAAATACGAGTTTTTTGTACCTGCTGATCTGAGAATGTGAGTCAAAAGTCTATGTGAGTCAGATGGGTAGGTATTCAAAGTCCAAAAACTGGTTCCAAATGGTTTAGTTCACATCCAGAATGTGCTCAGAATACCTACCCATCTTTCACATCCTGATTCTGAGCATATTCTGGATGTGAACTAAACTGTAGCGGTGGGTTTTTGCAACATCAACCCAGCGCATCCAGAAGGGACCTAGCGGCAAGGGCACCTCCACACTCCTGCTGGGCAAACCTATCATTTTTTATCAAACATGATCAAACTTTTTTAATTGGCTAGTTGTAGTTGAAAATCATACTAGATATGGAATGATATGGATAGATAATGATAATCAATGGCTATGATGTTACCCCATAACCATGTTTACAACTATTACTGTAAATCATTCTAGTTGTACCATGATCCCCATTGCATCACTCAGAAAGATCACCATGAATTATTCGGCGAATCCGATGATAGCCACCCCACTGGTATCCACTGTTCTGGGAATCTAACATAGCTATTGAACAACTAAAATACCATGTCCAAATAGGTAGATCATCTACAGATGCGCCATCTATACCATGGAAAAACGGGGAGCCTCAGAGCCTTGCAGTGCTTCACCAGCGATCCCAAGGTAGCCACTTGTCTCGGAAGTCACATGATTCATCCGGATGCCAACATTGGGCACAAGGTGTGGATTTCTCACAGGCAAATCCCTCATCAAATCCAGGTAATGTTGAGAATTAACATACATATATATATATATAATATAAATTGGATAGTTGGCTTGTTGGCCTAGTTGGAAATGGTGTTTTTATATTTTTGATGACCCCAAGTGACTTTCATGGTTCTTGGGATAGGTTTAAACCATTAATCGGATATTCTGCGTCAAGCCTGAGAGAGGGAATTCCCATGCTGACTTGGGCAGTTCCACCAATAAGTTGTTATAAAACCGTAGTTGTAGGAGTTGTATCCCAACTTGTGGAGGTTAAAACCCCATGATTCTACCGTTGTACCATGTTATACCCATCAATAACCCCAACTGCACCATGTTCTTTGCTTTTGTTGCCGTTCGTGTCGGTCACTCTCACTTTTCAGTTTTTCTCTGATGTAATTTGTAATGCTCCCAGTTCTACTAGATATGGCTGTTCCCCCGAGTGGGTTGGATATGTATATTACAATATATTACATACATACATATATATATATATACATACACATATATACATACATAAATATATACATGTATCCATCATTTTGTTGGTTGCATACACCATACTTCTGGATTCTGGTTTCTGACCTGGTTTCTGAGCCATTCTCGTTGCTTCTCTTGCCCCAATTGGATGACTCCTTCGCCAGGTAGGTGCTATGCTCGGCAACGCCATTGGAGGCCGGGGATTCAACATGGGGATCTTTAATGGGGCCTAGATGTGAGATGTGGGATCCAGAATAGCACTCCCAAGTTACGTGGTTTATGAAAGTTATGAAGGTAGGTATAGTATACCCCTGAGTGGGATAAATTATACTTGATAACTGCTGGGATGGTGATAAAAAAATGTGGATCCCGCATTGTAATGGGTAATAGTCCCTGTGACTGGTGTTGACCATTTTTGTACAAGACATGGGGGGTTGGGTCAAACCCATGATTTACCCGTATGAATGGGGGAAATATACAGCTATGCATGACCTATTTTGATGTGAACATCAGTGTGTTTAGATTTTGTTCCAGAGCCAAACCATCCCAAAGTTGGCAGGAGGGCTGCAACAAGATATTTCCGGTGGGTTGTCATTAGGTGATGATTGATGAGAGAACGCCGAGGGCAACGAGAATTCGCAGAAGCCTTCTGGTTAAAAACCTCGGCCTCAATGATCATTTTCTTTCTACGATTTGGTGTGAGTTGGGAAGAACGAGTAGATAAAGGAATCAGTGGGATTTATCAATCTGTTATATAGCGATGTCACATCGTTATGATCGTTATGTCGATAGTTGAGCCAGTTGATGGTGAAGATTGCTTGAGATTGGTGAATGATGTTTTTAATTTTTTTAAATGATACCTGATATTACCTGATCATATCGGCCATTCTTGGGGCACCTCTTCAGCGCAGGTATCACCTTCACTGGGTCCCTGGTCGCCTTTGGTATCTCGCAATCAGCAGTGCACGGCCCAACATGAGGGACTTACTAGATCTTACTACCATAAAGTCAGTTACCATAAAGTGGCGAGTTGAATGTTGATGATGATGATGATGATGATGATCAACCATGAGAAATGGTGCATTTTACAATTTTCATCACATAGAACCTGGGCATGGAACATCCCGCAGGGCTGGTTTTTCCTACATGTTCCCATCAGCCGGGGGGATGTTTGATTGCCATGCCGCAGATGGAGCAGTGGAAAGCCCTGCGGTGGATCAAAAACCGTCGGCTTTTCCCAAGGTTTTTATGGTCGTCCAGTCATGCCATGAGCTCTTCGAATTTGAACAGCAGGGGTTTTGTATGGTTTTGTCCCATGGCCTGTTGTTTCAAGTGATTCCCGGAAGGAATAACCAGGATAAATCAACGGCAGACTGGGGAGGTTTGAGTACCACCTGAAATGCTGGTGTTAAACAGTGGGTTGAGTTCCTCAACGGCAACGTTTCTAGAGGAGATGTGAGGGGAAATCACCATCTGCTTCTACATGATCAGGTTATCATTGGATTGCGGCAGAATTTAAGTGCCTACACTTTCTGGAACTACATGGGAATACGGAGAGATGTTGTATAATCAGTATCATTTAGACCACCTGCAGCTTTCGTACATGAAATGCCGTGTTTTCTGTGCAGTTTGCGCTGGCACTGAGACCCCGAGGTAAGCTGAACGGAAACCTGAGCTCGAAGCCATTCAACTTGCCCAACAAGAGCCTGAGCTGCAATGGGACAGGGCCCAGGGGCCCAGAGCCTCCGAAAAATCTGACCGTCCGAGTTTGAGACAGCGCTAAGGAACATGTTGAATGTTGGCATGGCAGCATCTCAGACCCTCGGTGTGGATCGGGAACGATGTGTGGTCAGGCTGGTGATTAGCAAAAGACTCTCAGATACTGTATAGGAATTACATGGAATTACCAAAAAGTACGTGGAAAAAGTGTATCTTCACTGGTTTAGTAGGAATTTCGTGTTCTGTCTTTTTGTGGGGTTGCTACATATTGGAATCTTGTTGGAACCGACTAACTACCTTACATCCAGCTACTCAGCTACTCTAAGTTGGAGCAACGGCCACGGACGACTTTTGACCACAAGGAATCTTAGTGTCTTATGATTTACCCTCTGGTTATTTAACAGTTCGCCATGGAAAGATCCACCATTTTTCAGTTCGGTAAACCATCTATTTCGATTAGGGCCATCAACAAACCATGGCGAACTGTTAGTCATAACCAGAGGGTACCCTCTGGTAATTTCCTAATTTACAGTATAGATGATTTTCCCAGCTATAAACCTCTATTTATTGCAGGAAATCATAGGGAATTCCCAGCTGCGTTGTACCTCAAGAGCTCCAAGGTGAATATTGCACATGGCCAAACATGTATTGTTGTGCCCCTTATAGTTGTTATCTCCCCCCAAAAAATAGAAAAGTAGATATATCTCCATTGAAATAGTGATAATTCAATATAATTCACTGTTCTATCTCTTTGGTGATGACTTTTTTTCACATCTATAAACCTTACCTAAGTTTGGCCCTGTTGCCCATATGACAAAAAGCTCTTGCAGCTCATGTCCAAGAATTGGTTGAAACAGAATTACGCTTGAAACACGGCTTGATGGTAGGGATTCCAGCTGATTTCCTGTAGAATCCTGTAGAAAGTTCCCAACAAAACACGTACACCAATCTGGTAGTATGTCATATCACATTGACATACATTGACATCAAGCTCTTTATATATTCAACCAACAATAATGTCTTGTTGTTTCTTTTAAATTGCATATGTTTTCTGTTAGAACTGGGATGACCCAAACTCACTGAGGCTCGGTATGCTGGGCCTCTTCTGTGCTAGCAGCTCACCGGGTCTCGGAACTGCCTTGATGCGTCCCCGGCGATGGTTTGGGGCTGCAATTTGTTGGTGATTTTTGTGGGTATAACTATGGTAGAACTGTATGACTATGGTATAACTATGGTAACCAACCCCATAGGTTACGATTTATCATGATTAATCCCTTATCAGTATCACTTATTCATGGATTCTGGTGGGAATGGGGACATATGTTTGTCCAGAGATGCGGATATTCCAAGATATCCCCAGTTTATGACATTTTATGGCTGAGGAAAATGATGATAAAGCAGACTTAGGGACAGTTGTAGGCTTTGATTACGCCTTACCCTCTGGTAATTTAGAATAGCTATGGAATCCTATGGATAATCATCATTCTTGTACAGTGGGTAAATCATATATATATATATATGTATGAGCACTGAATTTTCCATAGCTATGTGTTAAATAGACTGGAGGGTATAGAATATACTTACAACAATTGGCGAGCGTGTCCAATCCAAACTTATAATCCGACATTGCTAAAATGTCATCCATCATGACCCATCATCACCCATGATCCACACCATCATCACGCCAGAATTGCACCAACACTGTATTACCCCGGATTTATCCCATGTCCTGCCCATGTACAACTGATTGACAAACTCATATAATATCATATGTAAATACAGTTTCAGAAGTCTACCGTGGACTGTATATACATGTATACATATCTATTTATACAATGCTCTCCCAGGATACCCTCTGGCAAGTTTCTATTTCAACATCTATGGAGAATTATCACCTTTACATAGGATATAATACAGTAGGTGAATCGTTGAACTAAAGGGACCATTCTCCATATCCATGTTAAATTACCAAAGGGTGGTTGACAGCCTGGACAAGTCCCCTGGTATTTTCTTCAAGCCCAGATATTCACCCCCAGAAATCAGGATAATATTCTGAAAAATTACCTATCACACCCGGTAAGGTTTTACTATCAATCAATTGTAGGTATTCTTCCCCTTAGCTGTTCACTAAATCCCCAAGATAGAAATGGCTATGAGTCAAAATCCTAGTAGCCTAGGGACTAGGTCATAGCTGGTACAGCTGGATGTTTATTCCCGCAGTCATATGGTACATCCTTAAACCTCCATTAAAGTTCCATGAAGCCACCATTCCTGATGGTTTAATCCCCCCAACATCTGCCAGGTATGGCACCACAGCACTGTCCTCGGCGATGGGAGTGCATTTGGTGGGCAGCGTAGGAGGAGGCGATATGCCCTGCTGCATCACCGTGCTGACGCTGGGACGAACATCGCGCGGGTGATGGGTTATGAATGGTTATGAGACAACGATTTACCCGGATTTACCTATGAAATCTGGTTCCTATTGTTTTTGAAAAAAGGCTTTAGGGAGTTTTTAGCGAACATGTCTTTACTATGACACTGGGATATAATTGATGTTGGTTGTGAACTAGAGGGTTAGTAGTCATTAAGCTACCTGTAGATTTTTCACAAAAGTGCAATTCCTTACTCCTTCTTCTTCTTCTCGCCTCTTTGTTGCCTTCATCCCCTCTGCCAGCTCCGGATGCAGTGGGTCACGCCTGGACCTGAACACCACATCGCCAGCTCCGGATGCTGTGGAGCGCGCCTGGACCCGAACACATGTCAGATAGAATGTCAGATTGGATGCCAGATAGACTGCCAGAAAGAATGTCTGAATATATGTCAGATAGAATTTCAGACAGAATGTCAGAATAGATGTCAGATAGACTGCCAGAAAGAATGTCTGAATATTATGTCAGGGTGGGCATCACTCGAAGTAAAGTAATTTACTGTTCACCATGCCTTCAATGTCAAGCATCTCCCCAAAGTTCTGATGATTTGCTAAATGAATAAATCTGGCTAGGCTATACATATATACATAATTTATAATATACATAAATATACATATATCATATACATCCCATAGATCCCATAGATTGTATGCCCTATGCCCTTGAAGCATCAGAAATGACTTCACCAATGGTCACCATCTGTGGTTTTTCCATCAGGAATTCCTACAGCGGCTGGGCCCTGGTGGCGGAAGGCATGCTGTTGGGCAGCCCGACCCTGACGGTGGTGGGCTCGTTGATCGGCTTTAGCGGCACCTCGGTGAACCTACCCTGACCGGTGGACCTGGTGGACCTGGTGGACCTGGTGGACCTGGTGGACCTGGTGGACCTGGTGGATCGAAAAGTGAGGAAACTGGGGGAGTAGTCACTGTTGATGTTATATACATGTTATATAATTTATATACATTTTTTTTAAAAACATGTATAAATGGGATATAGGAAATCAGTGATAAATGGACATGTACTCGGCATTCAATCTGGGATATATAGCCATCTTTATGCGTATTTATTTGATTTGGGCGTATCTGAAAATGGGGGATAGCCAACAAGTGCCAACAAGAGGCATTTTTTGTGAAACACATAGATTTAGGGGTACTTAGCGTACTATCTTTTTAACGCACCCAAACACGTAGAGATCAATTGAAATAGGTTATACTTGGGATTTTGCATGGCAATTAGTGCTTTGAATCACGAAAATGGTGTGTCCGTTTGTCAACCTTCAAATGGGGCAAATTCAAATGGGGATTTGCGATGATTTCGAGTAACAAAAATGAGGAGTTGCTGGGTTCGACCCCCTGAGTCACCTGGGAAATATACCATCTGGTTATGACTAACATAGCCATGGAAAATCACCATTTTTAATAGGTAAACCAACTATTTCCATAGGCCATCTATACCATGGCTATGTTAAATAACCATAGGAGTATGTATGCCATGGTTACACAACAGCTCCGAAAACTGACGAGACTTGGACCATGCTTCACTCGGACCCCAAAGGTGATCTAATCTGAGGGTGAAACCAACATGAAAATTGGTTGGCCAGTTTTTTGAAACCTTGTAAGAACTCTGGAAGTGTAAAACCAATCAAATGGGTGGTTGTTTGTACGAAAATTAGATATCCCCAAATCCATGGGTTTATCATTCATATTTCCTTCAAAGTGTACTGATGTTCTTTTCCTGGTACTAGTATACCCCATTCTGGGCGAATCCAACTCTCATATTGTTGGTTAGCTATGTTGTGTATACCATTCTATCCTCATGAAAATCATTCCTGACCATCCAGGTGCCATTCTGACCAAGATCATGTGTGCCACTGGGTTGCCGAAGTAGATCGTTGACTTGATTTCAAGGATGTGGTAGACTTATATACGGTAATTAATCATAGATGGTATGAGATGGGATTTAATGGGGTTTTATGGTGACTTAATGGGATTTAATGAGGGTTTTATGGTGACTTGTAGGTAGCAGATAATGTGGTAGATGAATGTAAATGATGATAAACCATAGCTAGCAATAGCGATGGCAGAGAATTAGCCATAGCTCTATAAACTCTAATATGATAAATTCAATAATTTGAGATATGTATAGTACGTGATGATCGATGTGCTATCTAATCAATTTATCATCATGTGGTGTTGGACTCAACAAGCACGTTGTTTTTGCAGATTGATAGTTTGATCAACTATTCTTTACGATTTGATTGAATCATCAATTACCACAGTGTCAGCAGGTAGATTTCGGTAGGAACATCCTAATTGGGTCGTGGGGTTTGACAGGCTCACGCAGGCAGATGTTTTTTTCCATGTGGTTTCCATAAATGGGGTTCCCCCCAAAATAGATGGTTTATAAGTTTATACTGTAATGGAAACTCCTATTGAAATGGATGATTTGGGGGTACCATAGATTCAATGGATTGGTTTCAGGGAAAATCTTAACCGGAAACCATGGATTTTCCGATTTTTTATATGGGGCTTAAACCAATCCATTGAATGTAGGGACTGTAGGGGTCGTTGTCTCTAATACACCGCAATGATTATAAGCAGAGGTTTGCTGGGAAAACCATCTATAAATGGCTGGTTGGTGGTTTGGAACATTTTTTATTTTTCCATATATTGGGAATTTCATCACCCCAACTGACGAACTCCATCATTTTTCAGAGGGGTAGGGCTCAACCACCACCCAGATGGGTACCCTCTGGTATAGCTATTGAAAATGGCCATTTATAGTGAGTTTTCCCATTAAAAATGGTGGATCTTTCCATAGTTATGTTAGTTTACCAGATGGGTAAATAGCCAGAGGGTATATTGATTGACCCCGAGTCAATCCAATGGTCATCGGTCCATGGCTGCCATGGCTCCGGCAAAGGATGCCATGAACCGTGACATCATGAACGTGATCTTCGGTGGAATGAGCGTCGCGCCACCCAAAAAGGCTGGGAAGGGATGATCTGGGACACTTAAAATACCTGAAATGGAGGTACGAAGTGCCATCTTTGAGACAATAAGTTGATAACAGTTGATATTTTGAGCATTTTGAGGGATATCCCGAGATAGGATTAGATAGGACCTGGGCATAGATCAATAGACCTGGCATGTCTTGCTGTAGGTACCTTCAATTTAGTTCCCTAAAATGTCCCTGATGGGAGATTCAGCACATCCTGGGTACGGTGAATGGTCGCTTTATGGATCAATCTTTGGCCAGGAGGAATATGGAGGAATATGATGCTGATTCTGGAGTATGGTCAGCCACGTCATTAGGTACTGGAGATTCAAAACATATTTGAAGGTAGAAATGGATCGTTCTATCAATGGATTGGTTTAAGGGAAAATCTACAGGAAAGTCCCATATTTAATGAGAAAATCGATGGTTTCCGGTTAAGTTTTTCCCTTATAGCCATAGATATACAGTATTTAGCTAGTAAACTAGTGTTTGGGCCCAATGAGACCGCTGGCGAGACCGGCCTCCCCCTACGGAGTTTTCACAGGAGAAGCAGTGGTTGGGACCCCTCCTGCCATTTGATGGGTAGGTTTTCAAGTGAAGCTTTCAAGATCAGAGATTGCATTGGCAGTCAAGTTTCTACTGCTTTCAGGGTCCGTGATGTTGAGACACAGACATAGTGGGGCAGTTTTTTGTCAATGTAGTCTCAACCTGTGTGTCGAGCTGTGCCTGCAATCATTTGATCATCGGTATACCCGCCCCGACTGCTGGTAGGCTGACTGATGGGGGATACTACCCTTCATTGATATATGGGATGTATTCTGGGCTTAATGCATGCGCAATTACCATTGATGCCAACGCTTTGTTTGGACTTTTCCTGATTTTGCTCTATTTTTTGGGGACATCCATAAATCATCAGAAAAAAACACTGTTGTTCCGCTCGAGGTTCGCTAACAAGGATTATTATAATCTACCATTGAGGGAGACACGTACCTTTGAGGGAGACACGTACCTTTGAGCTGGAGCGGGAATGTGAAATCTACCATTCGATTATATACGCCCTGGAATCAGCTGGGTATCACATCATATGTGCCATAGTCACAGCCCATTGGGGCAGCCCCGGACTGTCCGATGACGAGAACTTGTTGGCGGTAACATGCATAGGTTCCGGTGAAGATTTTTTCCCTTATAGCAACCCCCAAAAGGAGACAAGTGAAATCCTACTGCAATGGTGATAAATCTCTCTTCTATTTTGTTTTTGTGTATTTTAAACCACTCCAATGATCGTTGGAGTGGTTTACGGGAAAAAATAAAAGAACCGCCAACCAATTAGATGGGGAAAAACCATGGTTTCCTGCCACTTTTCCCTCAAATCGTCTCAAATCGTCTCAATGGAATGAGGAAATATAACTGGGTGGTGGTTTCACACATTTTTTATTTTCCATTTCATATATGGGATGTCATCCTTCCCATTGACGAACTCCATCATTCTTCAAGATGCTTAAAACATGTTAAAACGCACCACCAACCAGATTGCTATTAACCATCATTAACCATATAATAACCATTCATATTAGCCATTATTAACAGTATATTAACCACGTATTCACCAGATGACTGTACCATGGCCCCATGGCCATCGCATGTAGGGGGGTGCCGTCGAGGAGGTCAAGGACGGTGAAATTCTGAGGTCTCGGAGTCTCCCAGAATGGTCATTTTGTATGAATTATTAGAGGGACATTGTCATAATGGTACCGTAATGACCATTAGTAATAAAGGGAACCATTAATGAAATGTTATTTATAACCATGGTAATCATAATTATTAATGGTTATTTCTTAATGGTATATACTGTAATCATAATTGACAATTGACAAGTTTTGTTTCTTTCTTTAATACCAGCAGTTTCTTGGTGGTGTATGGATGATATGCTAAAGAGTCAACTTTTACTTGGACATATGGTGGTTTATCCATCTATTCCCGAGAAAGCATAGCGAAGCTAAACAACTACGGAAATGCCCCCTGAACCTGAGCTATGTTGGTTAATTAAATAAGTACGTAGCTTAATTGTTGGGGTTGTGGTGGATATACGAAGTACTTAGATGGGCACAACAAAACAAGCAAACATTCAGTGGTCATTTCAGGAACCTAAATTGGAGGTACCTACCATATATAAGGCCTATTTTTTAGGCCTAAATTTCAGGGGATATCCCCACAATTAATATGGCCAAAAATATGGTACCAACGTACCTCCAGATCCCTCCAGTAATAAAAACTGGCCATGGAGAATCCACCATTTGCAGTATATCCAGCCAGCACATTACCAAAAGGTAACTCGGGGTCTTTCCCGCATTCGTTGTGTGAACTTTGGGGTTTTAACCATCCATGATGTCCCTGGACGTGTGGAGAATTTGCAGGAATTCATTCATTAATTTTATGTTCTTTTGGGTGAGAACTAACATGTAAACAACTGTTGCTTCATGTCATTTAAATAGATTAAAAAGCCGTGATTCCTCAAGCCGCGTCTTGCAACTTTGGGCAAGACTGTGAATCCCCGCGATATGATGCAGTGCATGCATTGTATCATACAGATTGCAATTCACAGCGCAGACAACTGCAAATGTAGCCTGTTGAAAACACGCACGTGCATGACCACTTGATATCCAATGTAGATTCTCCATTTCATTTCGTCCATGTGGATCATATTTGAATTGTATCTCCATGTGATCCACATATTTACGCTTTGGTAAACTGACATAGCTATGGACATCACCATTAAAATAATCGGTCAATCAGCGAACTCAACGGGGGCTTCGGTAGCAGTTTCTGTTAGTTTCCCAAGAAGGGTAACCCCATCATATGTCCATCAATTCCCAGCATGTTTGACAGTTAAATCCAATATTGATCAAACATGGGATTGATGGGGATATGATGGGGATATGATGGGGATATGATGGGGATATGATTGCTAAGCACAGAAGATCATCATTCACCTCTGTATGTCACCAGTATGTCACCATTAATCCATTTCATCAAACACCACCCTCTGAACTTGGACAAAAACCGTCTCCTTCCACGCAAAAAACGCCTAGCTCCTACTAGGAGCATAGAGAAACCAAGCCCGAACAAGTGGCCGATCTGCTGTTGGACTCCAAGGAGGTCATATTAAAAACACCGGGGAAAGTGGATGGTGAAATGGTGAAGGGTTGGTGCGGAGTTCAGATGTCTGAAATCAGGATGGTGATTTTATTGGTGATTGTATGGTGATTTATGGTGATTTCTGCTCATTGATGTCATTTTTATATCTTTAACATTGATTGGCTATGAAATGTGAAGACGTTGGGTGTTTATTCATGTTTGTTCCGACAAAAAAATGTTATATCCATCTTATTTCACTGTATTTTTATGCGCTCCTGAGTTTTATATAAACATATAATATCATATAATACTATACCTATTATATATAATTATATATACATGTGTACGTTGTTTGACATTTTTTGTGGACCAGAAGGCAAATGATTTCTCATTTTTCCCCGGGGTCACAGACAATTGCCACCAGAAAGCTCCACCAGTTGCTGTAAACTTACTGGTGCTTAGTAGGGAATGGATGGGAATGGGGGAATGGGATGATGATTACTAGTGATTATGGATCATTCCCTCATTCCCTACCAAGCACCAGAAAGTAATGAGCTGTAAATCTCTTGGATTTCAAATCTCACTGAAAAATCGTGAGCCAAGCATCTGTCTGTTTTATCTACTGCTTAATTGGTTGTTTTCAAGAACTTATCCCCAAATCCGTTTGGAATCATTGTTGAACATCCCCAACGCACCGACCAGGTCATGATCGTGCCCGGCTACGGCATGGCCGTGTCACAGGCAACGAGTCTCGGGGTATGTCAACCCCCAAAAAGATCAAGGGCTAAGGAACATCCCGCTAAAATCGTCGCAAAATAGGTGTCTATCTTTCCCGTTTTCAAGAACTCATCCACATCATTTGTTTCATGTTCTTTTGTCCATGATATGTGCATATATGTGCTACATCCATCCGGTTTGGTTGTCGTTGTATCCGGATGTTTGCTTACGCGCCAACTTTTGCCGTTATTGTCTCCAGTTCTGGTCAATTTGTCGATCCAATTTCTAGATAGAATTATTCAGTTTCTTGATTTCCATTTTCTTCCATAGATTTATAAGACTTTATAAGAAGTCCATTAGTTCACCACTTCTCTTTTTCTTTCCGCAAGTCACCAAGGCTCCAGTGGACAAAAACCGATACAAAACAATACAAAACAAATGACCCATTTCTAACCATTGATGAACCATTGTTAACCATATATAGGATAACCATTGTTAACCATAGATTAAGCGTTATTAACCATACTATACCATTGCGGAGCCTTAGAAAAAAAAGCGAAATCCCCAAGGCCCAGAGAGCGGTGGCCGACATCGCCGGCTTCTTGAAGGAGAAGGGCATCAACACGCAGCATGGCAGCGATCAATTCCGGAGTTTTATCGCAGATGGTGAGACAAACGAACTCTTCATGGTTATTCACCATATAGTCATGGGTTATATTAGTTACATGGTTATACATATGCTTAGATAGCTATATGGTATATGATTATATGATGGTTATATGGTTATACGGTTATATGGTTATATAATGTTATATAATGTTATATATAAATTATTGGTTATATAGATAATCGATGGCTATACGGCTATATGAATATGGGTGATGAGTATATATTATATACGACTATATCATGTCTTGCAAACTAGAGTTGTTGTTCCCACCACGACAAATAAACCTTGTTTTTGTAACTAAAGCTGGCAAAGTTTTGATCCTTCTGAGAGGATAGTACTTTTTTAGTTACTACGTCCCCACTAAATGAGGTGATTGCCCGCAAGTTGTTTAGTGAGATTGCCCTTTTAGCGTTGTCTGACATGTCATGTGTATAATATATATATATATTATATATATATGTCTATATTTTATACTGGTATCATATTATGTCTGGGTCTCTTTGGGGTAATAGCACCACATTACCCATATATCTACGCTCTAAGGATACAAATTCAATTAGATTCAAGACGTTGTGGAATTTTCCGGATCCAATACTATTCATCATCTGAATTTCCAACCACAGGTGCTGGATTTCAGTAAACCAATCGATTCTTCAATCATCTTCCAGGCGCTTCTCCATTCATCCAGTGGCCGGCCGAATGCCTGGCCAGATGAATGTGCCGAAGCGGCAATGGGGCGGGGTGTTATTTTGGTGTTGCTGTTGCTGGTGTTCATTTTGGTTTGTTTAGTTTGTGTTTATTGTTGGGCATGTTGTTTTCATTCTTTCTTAGCGGTTCTTTCTTTCCTTCTTTGTTTCTTGTTTGCAGTCGTTGTTGTGTTTTTGTTGAGTCTGTTCTTCCTGAAGGGTCTATAGAAACCGTGGAAATGCAGCTACAGCTAGAAAAAGTCCACGCTGCAACTCCTTTTTCGAGCCTTACATTTTCCGTGTTCACAGGAGGCATAAGGCGGGAGAAGGCCCCTTGCTCAAGAAGACCAAGACTGGCATGCCAGTTTTTCGAGATGCGCTTGCAGATTTCGGATCAAAGCAGTCATCAGTCAGCATAGCAGACAACAGATCGCAAAAGTGCAAGACTGGTAAGACATGATTGAGTTTTCCCAAAATAGACTACGTCAGGTTCAGCCAGGTACCTTTGTTTGGGAGCAGTTGTTTAAAACCTCATTTTCCCAGGAACATTGCCACATATTAGGATAAGTGTCCGCCACTTTCAGACACACCCAAATGATGTACAGTAGATGTAGATGTAGCTCTTGTGGTTCTTTATCCCATATTGCATTTCCATGATGTAGGGCGGCGCCACACCCGACACCGCCATCGCAATGGCTCAGAAAGGCATTTTCGTTGCCATGGACGACATGATCAGCGTAGAGCTGGTCAGCTTGCAGGGCGAGAGACAGAAGTTCCAGCATGCAACTTGGCAATGGCTTTGGATTACCCTCTGGTAAACTAACATAGCTATTGAAAATGGCCATTTATAGTGGATTTTCCCATTAAAAATGGTGGATCTTTCCATCGTTATGTGGCTGTTTACCAGAGGGTATCCTACGTTGATCTTGGGTTCCTTGGAAGATCATCAGATATATCATTTGGAAGCAATGAATATCCATTCCAAGGACAATGAGTCTCTAAGAATTCTTGGTGACCTCTATTCAATATATAGAGTAACCAAGAAAGCTGGAAATAGCAGATGACCATCAAAACAAGTTAGATGGGATAGGAGACATTGAACATGGGGATTGCATCATCAACAATGAAAAAGAACCATAGAATTGGGCGGTCATGAAGCGCTATCACGTTTTTATCAGCCACACTTCACGGCCTTCGTGAAGACTCAGCCGTTGGGGATAGGAACCACCCACAGACAGATTTGGTGCACGTAACCACCAGACGGAGGTTTCCATAAATGCGTGTCTCCCTTAGAAACCGTCCAGTTTAGAAGGATCTTCCCTTAGAAACCATCCAGCTATTGGGGATTCCCCATTTATGGAAACCTTAACCTATGTGTTTTTTTTTAATCAGATGGGCTGGCTCTGAGGTGGCTCTTTCTATGACTGGCCGTCAGCTGCAGCAGATGATCACTGCGAGGCTGCCTTCCAAGCCCGGGTCACGCATCGCGGTGCAGCACGGATCATCGCCCCTAAGCTTGGACCAGACCCTCAGGCAGCAAGGGCTGGCTGCCCTGGCTGGAGAATGCATCACGATGTCCTGCGTTTATGTTCGTGTGGATCTGCTGGCAGCATGGAAATACTTGCGTGGAGAACAGGTGGAAGAGGAGGAGTTCTCACTGCATGGGCTGACACAAATCGGAGGAGTTACGTCAGTACAGCAGCTTCTACAACTGCCCAGCAGCCTTCAACACCTGAACTTGAGTGTAGATTTCAATGACAGTCTTCGACAAGTGAGCTTTCCAAGTGGGATCAAGACAATGACTTTTGGCAATCTTTTAGACCAAAGCTTCCATGGCGTAGCTCTTCCAGCAGGGAGTTGCTTCAATCAAAGCTTGGATGGCGTAGCCTTGCCAGCAGGTCTACGAACCTTGGCTTGTGGGGACAATTTCAATCAAAGCTTGGATGGCGTTGCCTTGCCAGCAGGTCTGCAAACCCTGACCTTTGGCCGTTTCGATTGCTTGGAAGGCGTAGCAATGCCAGCAGGTCTGCAAACCTTGACCTTTGGCTCTTGCTTCAACCAAAACTTAGATCACGTAACTCTGCCAGCAGGACTGCAAACCTTGACTGTTGGGGACAAGTTCAATCAAAGGTTGGATCACGTGACTCTGCCAGCAGGACTGCAAACCTTAACTTTTGGGGCTTCTTTCGATCAAAGCTTGAAAGGCGTAGCAATGCCAGCAGGTCTGCAAACCTTGACCTTTGGCTCTTGCTTCAACCAAAACTTAAATCACGTAACTCTGCCAGCAGGACTGCAAACCTTGACTGTTGGGGACAAGTTCAATCAAAGGTTGGATCACGTGACTCTGCCAGCAGGACTGCAAACCTTAACTTTTGGGGCTTCTTTCGATCAAAGCTTGAAAGGCGTAGCAATGCCAGCAGGTCTGCAAACCTTGACCTTTGGCTCTTGCTTCAACCAAAACTTAAATCACGTAACTCTGCCAGCAGGACTGCAAACCTTGACTGTTGGGGACAAGTTCAATCAAAGGTTGGATCACGTGACTCTGCCAGCAGGACTGCAAACCTTAGCTTTTGGGGATGCTTTCAATCAAAGCTTGGAAGGCGCAGCAATGCCAGAAGGTCTGCAGACCTTGACTTTTGGCTCATGCTTTAACCAGAGCTTTGATCGCGTGACTCTGCTAGCAAGACTGCAAACCTTGACTGTTGGGGACAAGTTCAATCAAAGGTTGGATCACGTGACTCTGCCAGCAGGTCTCCAGACCTTGACTTTTGACTCTAGCTTCAACCAGAGCTTGCACCATGTGACTCTGCCAGCAGGTCTGCAAACCTTGAAATTTGGGGACAATTTCAATCAAAGCTTGGATGGCGTTGCCTTGCCAGCAGGTCTGCAAACCTTGACCTTTGGCTCTTGCTTTGACCAGAGCTTAGATCGCGTGACTCTGCCAGCAGGACTGCGCAAACCTTGACCTTTGGCTCTTGCTTTGACCAGAGCTTAGATCGCGTGACTCTGCCAGCAGGACTGCAAACCTTGACCTTTGGCTCTTGCTTTGACCAGAGCTGATCGCGTGACTCTGCCAGCAGGACTGCAAACCTTGACCTTTGGCTCTTGCTTTGAGCAGAGCTTAGATCGCGTGACTCTGCCAGCAGAACTGCAAAACTTGACTTTTGGCAGTTGCTTTGACAAGAGCTTGGATCGCGTGAGTCTGCCAGCAGGTCTGCAGACCTTGACTTTTGGCCCTTGCTTCAACCAGAAATTGTTTAGATTGACTCTGCCAACAGGTCTCCAGACCTTGACTGTTGGCTCTGGCTTGAACAAGAACATGCACTGTGTGACTTTGCCAGCAGATCTCAAGACCTTGACGTTTGTTGCAAGATTTGGCAGCAACCCAGTCTTTGACGGGGTGACTTTGCCAGCGGCTTTGCAGGAATTGTCTTGTCGGCGGCTTTTTTTAAGTAGCGCCAATTGATGCAGCGAGGCAAGACGGGGGTTCATCTCGTTGAATCCAATCTTTGGTGAATTTCCATGGATAGAACCGATAGAAATTCACCAAACTTGGAATACGAAATTCAGGAAGTCGAAGTGTGTGTGTGTGTGTCTTTTCCATTCTGATGTGATTTGGAAATCTTGTTGTTGTTTCTTGAGTTTCTTGTCTGTGTTGGGATATGCTACTTGTACTCCTATTCTTGGGGTGGTACCTTTTGGATCCTGTTGGAGGGTACCCTTAGACTTGCATGAAGACATGGTCAACGGCTGCTGGGAAAAAGATTTAGGGATAAACTTGGAATAATTCATGAACGGTTCAAAGATCGATGCTTGGATGTGCATCCCAGTTAGCAAGTGATGATAGCCATATTATACCCGGGTTCTATATAGGATCTCCCGATATATATATAATTATATATATATACATATATGGCTTATAATCCAGTTCTCTAAGTGGGACATATCCCCCAGTAGATGCGGGGCAGATCATCAGGAGCTTTCGAGGAATTTTGTTGACCTTTGGCAAAACATGTATTTCCATATATTAACTACATTTTAACTACAATATAGTATACACATATTGTATGCAACATATTGTAATACAATCTACAGTACATACGTATATATACACATTATATATATATGAGCGACGGCTCTTATTTGCGTATATGGAAAGTAGTATTCGGGCGTACCCCGGTTTGTCAAAAACATCATATTTAGCTTGTAAAACGAGGTAGGAACACCCCGAGAACGAGGTAGGCAAAAACGTTACGGGAGTGGAGAACGAGGTAGGAACACCCCGTCAATTGCGTTATGTAACAAATATGGTTCACAGCTCATATATGGCTTCGGGGTGGTAACGGGCCTGCTCAAGATCGATGTTTTTGAGGGTGTTGCACAGGGGCATTGATAAGAGTATGGAACAGTCTGGATATATATATATATATGTTATGTATATACTATAGTCATAATTATTCATATGATATTTGGAATAAATCTCCGCCATGAATCACGACTCGCTGCTTTTTTTTTAGGTGCTCTTGGCGGAAGCCGGCGTGCCGTACGACTGGGTCTTCGAGATGGACGAGGTTCAAGATGATGCTGGGGCTGCAGGGTAACTAGTGCTTCAACGGCTTTCGGGGATCAGGGGAGGTAAAAAATGTTGAGTATGGTTGGTGGTGACTGGAACCATGGAATTTTATGACTTTCCAGAAACACTTGGGATTACTGGATTATGGTGGTTTAATGGATGTTAATGGATTTTTCCATTCAGTTGGGAATGCCACCATCCCAACTGACGAAGTCCATCATTTTTCAGAGGGGTTCAAACCACCAACCAGTTGAGTATGGTTGAGTTTTTGCCTGCAAAGTGTTACAGAAAAGGTTGGAATCATGGACCCCGATGGGGGAACCTTGTGGATTCGCCAGGTGAAACATCAGGAGATTGGAGCAGAAGTTGGGGCTTTGATCCCCCCCACCTTGAAACATGCGCAGATGATATAGTTCTTTCCGCTGGCATGATGAAACTCATTCCGACCCAGTGAGAAATGGCTTTTCCAAAACTATGGTGCCTGTCGGCCAACATACTCGAGGAAACTCTAGGATATTCTCGAAACTTCAGATGAAACATCAGATAGCACCAAGAACTCCAAGCTGGCATAAATCTGACATCAAATTGGGCCTTGGCCTTCCATTTCATGGTAGCTGTGTGGATCATTTGGCCCGGTACACTGGATGTTCAACTAAAATGATCCCGTAGATGTGGGACAACCTCATTTGGATAGTTTAGTGCCTTGAATTTGTTGCCATCAATGGGGACATGTATACATGGATATATTATACCCAACTTTTTTTTGCAGCATATCTATCCGAAAATCTGAGGAAATGCCCGCGGTGGATACCTGCCTAGTGGTTGGCCCGGAGACCCTTTTTACGGACCCGATGGCCTGGTAAACATGGGTGTCCAGGGGACAGGCTGAGTGCCCGCGGCTCTGATTGCTGGTTGGTGGTGACGGGAACCATGGAATTTTATGACTTTCCAGAAACAGTTGGGATTAATGGATTCTGGTGGTTTAATGGATTTTAATGGATTTTTCCAGAAACAGTTGGGAATGGAATGTCATCATCCCAACTGACTTGAACTCATATTTTCATCATTTTTCAGAGGGGTAGGGTTCAAACCACCAACCAGATTGTATTCTCTCTTTTCTGATCACCATTTGAATCACCTTGGACTTCTTGAAGATAGAGACGAGAGGAAATTCCAAAAAAATCACTCCACGCCCGTACGATCAGCTCCTGATTCTCTTTCAGAATTCCACTGCGGTTGTGTCTGAAAATTTGGACCCCCATTCTGGGATAATGAACCATGAAATGGGGATGGGTCAAAACCCTGGTACCTAGTGAACCCCAAAATAGCTGGTAAATGGATGTTCATCCCATTAAAAATGTATCTATAGGTATTGACCCATACCCAAATGATGACCAATTTGTAGGTTTGTTGGCACAAGCTGAGCCATAACATGCCATAACCACCTGATGCCATGTCCTAACCCCCAGAAAATTGGAGGAAATATCAGTGGTTGAACCCCGATCAGCTTGGGAGTAACCATAGGAAACCAGTAAGAATTTTCCCGGACATCAATCCGTTGAAAGTGAATCACTGTTATCTCACTTAGTGCATAATATCATATAATATATCAATAAATATTGCATCACTATATCAATGTCTATCCCTAAAAAAAATGGGGTGTTATCCCATCAAAATCAATCCGCTGACACATCCGCTAACAATTGATACATCAATATCATCAATAATTCATCCATTAATTTATATCGCAAAAAAACCCTCATGGAAAAATCCTACTATGTTTTCTCAGCAAAAATTCCCCATCTTTCCCAGACTTGGTTTAAAGGAAATCTTGCAGGAAAACCCGGGGGGGTTCCATGGATTTTATGGTAAACATGGTAAAAACATGGTAAAAACATGGTAAAAACATGGTAAACACACCGTCATTTCCGGTCATTTCCCATCAAAAATCCATTGAACCCCCAGAAATGAGGTTGGTGAAATATGAATCGTTCCATCATTTCGTATCAAGTCATGGCCCAGGTGCGAATGACATCACCAATGAGGCAGCCGAAGTGGATGAGGACCGGGCCCCCGGGAACCAATTTTTGGGCTGGATCAGGCGCAACAAAATGGGGGGATTCAGTGGATCCGGTCATTTAACCATATTGAACCAACCAAACTTCATCTGGTTTAATGGTGATTAATGATGATTAATGGTGAGTAATCATGGTGATTAATGATAACATATATACTGCTTATGGTGGTTTGGAACATGATTGGATTATTTTCCATATATGGGATGTCATCCCAACCCCATTGACGAAGACTCCATCATTTTTCAAGATGGTTATTGCAACACCAACCAGTTAACCAACCAAACTTCATCATTTAACCAACCAAACTTCATCATTTAACCAACAATACCAATCTTTGGGGATTTTCTTCAGCAAGAAACATTGGGAATGAAATATGTTTGAAGACGAAACAATGGGAATGGAATGAGTTGACCAAAAATGGGATGATTGAACCCCCCAAAATTCACTGGATCGTCCCAAAAGCAATTCATTTATGATCAAAATCAAGCAAACATGCGATGCTTTGAACCCCAAATATGTTGCTCTGGGGATGAGTTGTTATGGGTTCAACTTTTCAACAGGGCTGAGTAATGAATTTCTACATGATTGGATGGTTGTCAGAATTGGCGACGATTGTCACTTGAGGCTGCTAAGGCCGAACTTTTCGGCTTGGTGTTGTAATTTATCCCGATGTTGTCAAAACATATATATATGTTTTTTCGATGAATTATGACCCGTTCTGGGAATCCCAACTTTACTGACCCGAAAAAAAATAGTGTCTTTTAAATGATGAGTCGAGATCAGGTTTAAGGTTTCCCTTCAAAACACCATATACATCCAATAACCCATATGCTCCATGTATAGTATATTTACCTTCATTTTCCCTAAAAATCACCCAAATGTAGGTAAATATACCATACATGGAGCATGTGGGTAACATACAAATCTTGATTTCCCCAAAATTGGGGGAGACCCCAGCCACGACACTACCGTAGGATTGCTCCATCTATGGCATGCCCGTGATCAAGGTGTGGGAGGTGTGAACGGGCCCAAACAGTTTGCGAACCAGCCACAAGTGAACAATGTTTATGGATCATTGATGGATGATTTATAGATCATTGACGGATCATTGATGGATCATTGATGGACCATTGATGGATCCTTGAGTGATCATTGATGGACCATTGATGGATCATTGATGGATCATTGATGGATCATTGATGGATCATTGATGGATCATTGATGGATCATTGATGGATCATTGATGGATCATTGATGGATCCTTGATGGATAATTGATGGATCATTGATGGATCATTGATGGACCATTGATGGATCATTGATGGATAATTGATGGATCATTGATGGACCATTGATGGATCATTGATGGATCATTGATGGATCCTTGATGGATCCTTGATGGATCATTGATGGATCCTTGATGGATCATTGATGGATCATTGATGGATCCTTGATGGATCCTTGATGGATCATTGATGGATCCTTGAGGGATCATTGATGGATCATTGATGGATCCTTGATGGATCATTGATGGATCATTGATGGATCATTGATGGACCATTGATGGATCATTGATGGATCATTGATGGATCATTGATGGATCCTTGATGGATCATTGATGGATCCTTGATGGATCATTGATGGATCCTTGATGGATCATTGATGGATCATTGATGGATCCTTGATGGATCATTGATGGATCATTGATTGACAATTTATAGATCATTGATGGACCATTGATGGACCATTGATGGATCATTGATGGACCATTGATGGATCATTGATGGATCATTGATGGATCATTGATGGATCATTGATGGATCACTGATGGATCATTGATGGACCATTGATGGATCATTGATGGATCATTGATGAATAATTTATAGATCATTGATGGACCATTGATGGACCATTGATGGACCATTGATGGATCATTCATGGATCATTGATGAATAATTTATAGATCTTTCATGGACCATTGATGGACCATTGATGAATAATTTATAGATCCTTGATGGATCATTGATGGACCATTGATGGATCATCAACAATACAGTTATGCTGTGGATGGCTTGTATGGGCTGTTTTTTTTTTTAAATGAATCATGGCTTACATACTCTATCATACTCTTACATGATGACTATCGTTTCCATTGTATGAAGGTCTATGGTCTATGGTAATTTTGTGGGTGATTTGACGTCGGATTGCTGCCATTCGAGAATCTTCGAGATGATTTGGCAAGTTGGGATGACTACTTCAAACTATGGGGATTTCATAAGCAGACACAGTATGTCGAATTATGCAAAACGTGTATGTGATATGCAGAACGTCAACAAAAATGGGACGTATAATTCCCAGGTTTTTTTATGGTTTACTATGAGGTGTGGGTTTTGGAATATTCGTTTTTAATTTCAGGACTTTTTTTTGGAGGGAGTGTGGCCATCAATTTTCTTTGTGATTCCAGTGATGATCTGGTAGTGACTGGAAGGGTCCAGCATGTTCCTAGGAATCCCCTAGGATGAAGATGAAGAACGTATAAGTTTTCCTAGGAAACTGGATTGTTAAGATACTTGGCCTTGAGGTTAGATGGATATACCACAACTGGTTGGTGGTTTGGAACATTTTTTATTTTCCATAATATATGGGATAATCCTTCCCATTGACTAATATTTTTCAAGATGGTTAAACCCACCAACCAGATAAATTTACTAAGAATCGTATAAACGTTTTGAAGAACGTTTAGGGGATCAACCAACCACATGATCACAGGTGGATTTGTCACATAAATATTGTTACATGTCCCCAGTTTATCTCGATTCTGGCTGGATGTATATATATATATAGCCATTAACTTCATATCACTGTCAATTTTACTTAAGAATAGTCTTCTTCAATCCCTCCTTAAACATCTTATCTGGATGAATTATTGTGATCTCGCTGTGACATCACTGGAAGAATGCCACGGGAAAATCATCCTGAAATTTCCTTATTTCAGCTATATCTTCAGGTGAGCGAATTAGTATGAGATCTACCCAAATCTTAACGATCTTATCCATTCTCATTCCCATTAAATTAATCGCCCTGGCAGGCCAAAAACTGCATCTACTTGAAGCGATCCATGGCCGGAGGCGCAAAAACCTTTGCCGGATCCCCTGGGAGTCCCGCAGTGATTTTCTTTCATAGACATTTTCGTGATTTTTTCGTGATTTTAATTTGTCAATTTTTTTGGGGCTATTAAGACCATGCATGACCATGGCTTTGGATTTCTTGTATGGACCTGGATCGATTTTTTTTTCCAGGCTATGCGGACATCGAGAATCCGGTCTTCTTCAGAGAAACCACGCAGATGTTGCTAGGCCTGGGAGGAGAGGTCGAACAGGTGACCCTTCAGGTACTGTAGTTGATTGGATTTTACATGAAGAGTTATTTTATATAGTTGTGTAAATAGTTGTAGAATAATCGCCACTGATTATAATCAGTTCAATGATTGGATTTCTTCCAATATGGTTGTATCAACAATTATAGAAATCCAAATATAGTTGCTGGTTGGTGGTTTGGAATATTTTTTATTTTTCCATATATTGGGAAGAATCGTCCCAACTGACTTTCATATTTTTCACAGGGGTAGGTATACCGGTATAAGACTATAATATATGATTAATGGTGATTAATGGGGATATACCATCCATTAATCACTATTAATATACTATAATATACCATAAGGATCCCCATATCTATCAATCCAATATTTTTTCTCTTCGGAATTCTTGGTGGTCATCCAATCACGACGCCGAAACGAACCACCGCCTCGAAGCTGGCTTCCAGGCGACGGCAAGTCCAGCTGTGAAGGCATTGCGGCTGCCTTGAAAGCGAAAGGTTGAGGCGAGGACGAAATGGGAACTGCCATGGTTTTTTCCTTTTTTTCTGATTTTTCCTCGAAAAAAGGTTAAACATAGCAGTTTTCTTTTGCAGGTACTTGTTGAGGCGAGGTTTCCTTCTTCTTTCTGGAATTTCCCTTAATTAGATAAATTGCTACGTTCAACGGGGAGAAAAACCATCTAACATAGGGATTTTCATCGTTACGTTAAAGTCAACGTAATTGAATTGGTACTTTAATACAACTGATTTCTATCGGGATGCAAACTTGCCAGCAGATTGTTTTTTTCTTTGGCAGGGGAATATACCAGTGTTTAAGATTGAGCATGATGGGTTGAATGGGTTGGTATTTCTAATACACAGATGTGCCCCCAGAAAATTCATAGTTGGCTCAAAACCCTAGTTATTGCACTTCCAATATTCCAGTTTTTTTGGTACAGGGACAGTGGCGAAAACATGGGAACTGATCAGTGTAGATGATCAGGGCTGCCATGTGTGCCATATAAATACACTGACCCCACCAGAGTCCGGGGCTGTGTCATGAAATGGACATACGTGAGTTCATACGGTACGAGTCGAGTCAAGAGTCGGATTGTATACGAGTATAATTTGGGATGGTCATCAATCCATTTTCATAGGGATTAGTATACCCATATATATATATATATATACACAATGTATATACACCATATTTTAAACCCTAGCACATGTTGGTTTCAGGCGGGCAATCCAAAAAAAACTGCGGGTTGGCTTCACCATCGCGCAAGGCCCCAACACCTGAGAGATATCGGCCACAGAGCCTTCATTGGAATGGAGACAGAACTTACAAGAAATGGAAGGTGCTGGATATATCTGGATATACCGTGGTGATTGGTAAGTCATATTTGGATATATTTGGAGGTTTCCTAAAATGGCAGTATATTATTATCAATTGGAAAACCTATGGTTTGGGGTACATACCCATATTTTGGGAAACCTCTATTTTTTCAGGCAGATTGAAGGTTTGTTTGATTAGTCGCTTGGCATCTTCATTCCTATGCAATCTCTTTAGATGTGTGATTTTCCCAAAGGTTTTCCTTCGCACAAAGCGCTTTGTGCGAAAAGTTGTGTTGCGCCTGTAAAAACCAGGCGCAACTCACAATTGGCCACGTAGGACTCACCAAAGATAGAGCCATTCTTGGAACCAATTCAGGCCGGATTTATGGGTTGATTTCGTTTCATATTGGAGTGTTTTAAGGTGACATCTTAAACGGAAACCATGTCCTTACTATCATCTCTAGGTTTTTTTCCGCGGGGGGTGGCATACTCCCCGCACCCGCAATTCACCAGCAGTCCATGGATGTTCAAATCTATATACTGGGTCGAGATTTCAGAACTGTTATATACGACCACAGATTGACAGGTCAGTTTTTTCGCAAACAGTACCAGTACAATGTGTGACAGGTACCCAATGACTTGATCAGAAACGGCACAAGGCAGCAAGGGGAATTCGCAAACGGCATGGACTGTGGATTCACAGCTATGGAAATGTGATCATAGCAGCATATTCCAGCGAAATTTTGGACATGGCAGCAATGGCCATGTCCAATACTCTAGTATCTCTAGTAGAAAGAGGGATTCCGTTTTTTTCATCCGTGTAAGATCATATTTAAGGATCAGGATCTTTTTTCCGATCCCGTTTTCAAGCCACATATCTCCCTGAATCTAAAGTTTCTGTGGATGGGGAGAAAACGACGGTTCCTGAAGTGGTTCCTTGAGCTCTCAGCAAGTCGACGGTCAGTCGTGCAAAGATTCCAGGGTACCTTTTGCAAAGCACCTTCCAGTCTTGAGGCAATATTTCATAGATCATGATAGTAGGTATCTGATATGATACAGCTCCATACTGCTAAAACGTTGGTTGAGTAGTTGCGAAGCATATCTTCCCCTTCAATTGGGATGTACAGTAATCTAAGCGATTTTTTTTTGAGGACATCTATGATTAGCCATGCACAGATCCAGCGTTGAATCACACATCACCTTCCAGTGGTTGCAAGAGTAGTAAGCCCCCCATCAACCTTCCTGGCATGTCATGGACGAAGTCCCGATTTCCAAGGGAATTCTGTACCAAAAATATGCCAATGTCAGAATCGCCGCAGGAGCTTTTGGGCTAAGCACCACAGCCAGGTCTCGCTATATATATATATATATGTATACCTTGAGCTCCTGGGAGATGTCTCTGCGAGTTGTGCCAGTCGCTTTTGAGATCACACTAAGAGAGGCACTCCTGCGGAAAATCCAGCTGCTCCAGCTGGGCCCTTTCTGTTGGGGTGAGTTTTTTGGTCAAGTCATTGGACCAAACAAACTGGATGGTTTAGGGCAGCCCGGGCTGAAAATGACCAAACATATGGTCCATATATGGATCCATATGGTGCCCCTGAAACTATGAGCCGCCCATACCCCACAGAAATGGCGGGGCTCCAAAGAGCCCAGGGAACGGTCAGGGACCAAGGATTTCCCAGCTGAGGTCCCGCATCAGGCTGGAGCCCATGGTTTTGCTTGGGTTGTGGCTCGAGGTTCTTTGGAACCAAGTCTGATAGTTGGACTATTTGGCTATCTCATGGTATGTCTGAAAATAGTGTATACTCCCAAAATGGCAATGTAACAGTAACCATGATCAAGCAGTGGATTATAATGGATTATATACCCCATGTTCAACGAACCAAAAAGTAGATGAACATGCCCCAAATGGGGAGACTTACTAACTTATCTACCTTACTACCTTACGGAAATGGGAACATCATCAGTTTTGTTTGTCGGGATCCCAACGGACCGTTTGGGATCCAAAGAAATCACCAAATCTTTTCGGTATATTCATATTCTCATTGGATTGGTTTAAGGGAAAATCTTAACCGGAAACCCATGGGTTTTTACCATCAAATATAGAGCTTTCCTGTAAAATTTCCCATCATCCAATTCCATGATATTTTGATCTATTATTTCTTATTGTCCATGGTCATGATTTTATGGCTGGCAAATATGCAAAGGTGATTTCATGTGTTGGGATTGACACCCAAAAATATAGCCCACACCAATTCTGGGATTCGTCTTGGGATATGACAGGCCACATGTATCACCAATGGGATCTTGCCAATGAACTTGGTACGACTAATGAGATTCCGGCTATTCCCTCACAGGTTACAGTGGTAAATCCATTGATTTGCTTCACAAAAAACCCAGCGACTGATGCCAGATGTCTCCAGCAGGTGCGTTGCAAGAGCCGTGGCAGGCTGCGAGGCGCGAAAAATCTCGAGCTGAATTGGACGGAAACATATAGAGAAACCCCCTTGAAACCGTGTAAAAAAAACATGATGTCCTGAAGATCCTGAAGATTGTCCCAACAAATTCAACAAAACCAATCCATTGAAAAGATGAATGAAACCCATCCAATTGAATCAGGGATGTATATATATATATATATATCCCACAGGATCCATGTATGCTATATATGCTAACATGAATGGGGTATATTGATGGGATCCATGTTACCATATATATCAGCACCATGGATCCTACGGGTATATCTATAGAGAATGGACCATTGTATATCAGGGGCCGAATGGGGATGATTTCAATGGGTTTAAGGGACAATCTTCACCGGAAACCATAGATTTTCCCATTCAGATCATGGGGCTTTCCTGTAAATTTTACCGAAAAAACCCAATCCATTGAGATTATTGTTCTACTCAAGTAGGATTGAAGCAAACAAGCTGTAGTTTAGCCAAAACAGAAACGATATGACACACTCACCTGCAAAAACCAACACATAATTTTGAAGCAGCAGAAGGCTGGATAGTCAGGGGGAGCTCTAAATTGTCTACATCTCCTTGGTGATTCGAAGGGGTTGGATGGTGACTGTGGTTTTCGCGCCCGCGAAGCCTCCTGTAAACATACAAAAAGATGTGGAAAAAACTCACCATGAAGAGAATTTTCCATCCAGCAACCAAAAAGGCTGGTGACAATGCTCGGAAGATCTATGAATGTCTATGAAGTTGGAAATGGTGAAGAAGTGACGTGTAATTATCCCCATTTGTATGTCCGAGTGCCGAGGGGGTTAGAGCCCACCGACCACGCGTTTCACTTCTTGGTGACTTGTGTGGGGAATAGTCCAGAAACTAACCATTCATTGACTTCACAGCTCATCATGATCAGTGACAGACATTCTAGTTTCAGAATCGCGGTTTGTTGAGAGGACAGCTTTGATCGGGATCCATTTCAGTTCCAAGTGTGACGGTTGACGGCTTGACCCAATGACACTATCTGTTGACATTGGCCATATGAATGATGTGTGGCCAACCCAAATGATAGGCGTCCAACGTCAGCGTGCCTTGTTGGGGCCCCAATTTGTCAGCGCCGAGAGCCTTGTTGGGAGCGGCTGTGGGCCAACAAGGTCATTTCTATCTCAAGATTAGACCATGAGAGAGTGCACGGTTACAAGTTATATGTACTTATAGATATATAGTTATAGATATATAGCTATATATATATAAATAGTGCTGGCCTTTACATACCTCGACATTTGGGATGTTGCAACATGACGGATTCAAGGCTTGGTGTTTTTTGGGATGCTTGATGGCGGAATAAACCACATTTGGGGATGTCAGACTTAGGCGATCATCATATGTCTATGATCCACCAAACAAGAGTGCCCTGCCTAATATTGTAAAGTGCAGAAGCAGACAGGGAGAGCGCCGTCTTCAGCACAGAAGCCGTCGCCAACGGGAGTCTGAGGAGACTTCCACATTGACAATCACAGATCTGGCTAGATTATAGTGACCTCACTATGACCTCACTGGAATGATGATTAGATATGATTAGTAAGAGTAGCTATCCCGAACTAGTCTTATTTCAGGTCAGTGAATGACTGTCATTTGCCCAGATAGATGATTCTGATTGTTGGATATGATTTGGATGCCCATAAATGGCATCAATGGGATATTATTGCATAAATGGTTCAAACTCTTAATGAATATTATTATCTGGATATTTACATACAGTAATTTCCTATGACCAACAACTTGGGTACCTGCTACTCTTGTAGCATCATATTTGCCATGGCATGTTGCGGTGCCCGTTCATTGACACCCTTGGCCCAGTACGCAAGATCATTAAGGACTCAGCTCGATGACGGCGAAAAGCTGCCTATGCTTTTCCCTATGTACACGGTACCTTTGGGCACCTTGTTGGAGATGACCAAGATCGAGCATCATGAAGCGCTAAAGGCCAGAGATGTGTTGGTGGAGTTCCAAAGGAATATGGGCAATGCGGCATTTGTTTCACACCAATGGGTTGACAGTAGCCACCCGGACCCAGAGTGCAAGCAGATGAGGGTCTTGCAGGAGGCTTTGAAGGAAATGATGGGCAACTTGAAGAGCATACCTGTAGATTTACTTTCCGAAGGGCACAATCCAAATTTAAAACCCTTGCCCACGTCGAAGATTCTGTCAGAGCCACTCTTCTTTTGGTATGATTATTTCTCGTGCCCACAGACGGAATGTCTTAGTGAACATTTCCCCCACAGCAGCAAATTGCCGGATGCCATCAACAGCATACCAGCATATGTGGACAAGTGCTCCTTCTTTTTTGCCCTTGTACCAGTCTTGGAGAATCCGAGTGGAACCAATCTCATCACTCCATTCACCTGGAATAGTAGGGGCTGGTGCAGATTGGAGAGATCTTGCCGAGAACTCTCTCAAAACAAGTCCTGGATTCAGGTGAAAGGCCCCAATGATCTTCAGCTCATATCGGGCGCTGGAGCATCCCTTCGCGCTGGGTCTGGGCCAGTGGGTGAAGGAGCTTTCACAGTGCCCGAGGATCGGTCGAAACTTGGGCCGGTTCTCATGAAAGCACTAAAGCGCAAGCTGCTTTGGCTTCTCAAAGCCCAGGACTTGCCAGGTTTTCGTTTTTTGCTGAACCATCAAATGTTTCTTTCCAGAGGTTTGGATTGCAACCTCTTCGAGCCTGTTCCTGGCTTTGAGCAAAACCATATGGATATGGATTTTTCACCCCTTGTCATGAAGTTTTTCCATCAGAATGGTTTCCGCAGCATCTGCGAGAGGGACAGTGCTGGATTTTCGCCCCTTCACTATGCGGCCCTGAATGGCGACCCAGCGTTGATTCAAGACCTACTGGCACTTCAGGCAGATCCGGACCAAGTCACAAGGAAAGTCCACCCAGATCTTGGGTTTGAATCGGGGGCTTCATCTCTCGCCATTTCCTGCGCCTTCAAGAACAATGAGGCTGTCCGGCTTTTGATCTCTGCCAGAGGCAGGGTCGCCAGCAGTGCGATTATTGCCAGACCTCTTATTGTTGCAGCCGGATTGAACAATGCAGAGGCCGTCCAGATTCTCCTCCGTGCTCGGTGCCTGCTTGAGTCCAATTCTTTCGACCTCACTCCGCTGGAAAGTGCTGCCAGCGGGGCCGCGCTTGAAGTCATGGAGGAGCTCCTCAGACACAGCATGATCAGTTCCATGGATGCGACTCATGCGCTTTACAGTGCAGCAACCTGTGCTGGAGGTGCAGAGTTCGTGTATCGTCTGGTTGAAATGAGAGCTGATGTCAATGCTCAGACTTGCGACTGGTGCAATCGCACGGCGCTGTACCGGGCCATACACACCTTACTGGTTTTGCAGCACCGGTTTCACAAGGTCACAATATTCAACACCCTCATGTATCATGCCAAAGGCGCAACGCCTTTGATGCTAGCCTTACTCTCCGGGAATGACGAATGTGCTGCGGCTTTGATTGCTGCAGGGGCAAAGCTGAATCTGCGGAACTCGCGGGGATTGACTGCGGCAGATCTGATACGGAGGCGTTCAGGGCCGGAATTCCTGCTCGAAGCTTGCGAAGGAAGGGTCGAAGCATGCCAGAGGGTTTCATTACTGGCATGTGGCTGGGTCGAGATGTACTTCTGATGCAACATGTATGTGTTTTGATGATCTTTGATGTCAAAAAGGCACACGGTGACGGTGACCAATCAACATGAGCTGGCTCTGTGCACAAAAGAATGCTGTGGCTGGTGGGCACGGTGTGGGATCGGACGGCTCGGTGTCAATGGCCCTACGATGATGCACTTGGAAGTCATCAGAGCCAAGAAATGAAGCTTCCAGCCATGTTGGAATGGGAAACACACACCTGCAATGATTGAATCAATGAAGATCAACAAGTGGGTCCAAACATAATGATATATGATCTGTATCTTATCCCAACATTCATAACATTCATAACATTTCATTCTGGGCAACCCCCCTATCATAGACCCACCAAGACTTGACCTGAGGCAGCTGTTGGTGCGGGACTGCTGGGCTCGGCGAAATTTTGGGTCCCAGTTTCGGGTTTTTTGTCGTCTTCTCGTCGTTTCTTTCCGAAGTGTTTCGGGGAGTTTCAAGTTTCGGGGGATGCTTGATGTTTGGCTAACATATGGAAGAACCTGGGCTCCTGTTGAAGCTGATCAGGGATCCCCTCGAAGAGTGATGTGGTGTCAGGATGCCAGAGACATCCAAGATAGAGCTAGAAAACCACTGTGATTATGTCTTGTTGTTTCCATATTTGCTGATCATTTTGATGCTGACATCCTTGTTTCTTGTTGAGTGCGCAACCGAACTCCACTGGGAACTTCAACTTTGTTTCAAGGATCATTCAATTACTCTACATCGGGGATAGATAGATAGATAGATAGATAGATAGATAGATATATATTGATCAGTTAAAGTACGCAAATGTTAAGCAATTAGTTCAAAACTCCCATCGATGAATGTACAAAAACATCACCAACGATTTTTGATGATTTTTTGCACAGTTCTTGCATATGTTTGCATCTTTTTGCATATGTTTGCTAATTAATTTCCCACTCAACATATCTACCTCTGGTAAACTAACATAGCTATTGAAAATGGCCATTTATAGTGGATTTACCCATTGAAAATGGTGATGTTCCATAGTTATGTTAGTTTACCAGAGGGTATCTAAATATTGAAGAAGTAAATCCATCCGTTCAATCGGGCTCCGCCAGGAACAGGGGGAAGAGGTGGCTCGGGGATGACAGGTTGGTGAGACCCAAAAAGGCCACGAAACCATAGGAAACGATAGGAAACCATAGGAAAATGGATGGAACATGTTGATAAAAAACCAAGAGAAATGTGGATTGAATGGGATTTATAGATATTTATAGCTGATGTATGCTGATGTATGATAGCTAAGGTGACGCAACTTGGTGAACTCTTGGGTTGATTAGGGGGAAATGACTATAGTTAATGGGATTATAATTACAACTACTAACTGCATGGCTGCTCTGCGAATACTAAACCAATACATAACCACAAGGGGGGAATGAGTTTCAACAGGGTTGCGCCGAGCTATTTGCAGAAGAATATGATCACAAGTTTTTTTTCATCTTCTTTCTGAATTCACATGTCCGCCTCTTTTGGGTTGCAAAACCAAATTCCTCATGAGAACCTGCACTACTGCCTTGCTAACCCAAGTGATGGAAAGTGGAGAAAAACGGGAAACCAGTTCAACAAACAATCCTCAAAATGGGTTGCTACGAAAAGCTTTTGGTGACCACAACTAGGAAAACAACATGAACACATGCAGGAGTCGTCCGGATCATTGCACCATTGTTTTCTTTGTTTCAAAACGAGGAGGCCTAAGTACGGCGTACTTAAGAAGGTTCGACCCCCCCCACATCCATGTGACGTCCACATAGCCAGTTTTTGATGTTTATTTGACATACAGATTTGACAGACTTAGCGACTTAGCGCCAGATGAATGTCTGTTGGGTCCGACCATGCTAAGTACACCGTACTTAGCACGTTTCATCTGTAACGGTTGTTGCACAGCTTCCACCAGTGACTTTGAGACAAGCCTTGTTCTTCTATGAACATCGCTAAAGTACGGCGTACTTAAGCCCCAGGCAACTATTGTGATGATGTGTTTGGTATTCAATCCCACAGCCCGGCTGAACACCCATGAAACAATTTGTTGGAACGGTTCTCCAGCCGGAAACGTCTCCCTGGCCACAAAGTCAGCGGCTGGGTTGGAGTAAATTATTCCTGTCTGATGCAATTGAAAAACAAACCTTGTGATACCTTGTGTATGGGGCCTTGGGAGCACCTATGTGGGGAAATGACTATAGTTTATGGGTTTATAATTCCAACTACTGACAGCTGGCGGGTCTCACCTTGGAGCTATGGAAGATATTGGAAAATCACCATTTTTGAAAAGTAAAGTTTCCTCATCTACAAATGGGCCATTTTCCATAGCTATGTTAAATATTGTTAAATTGTACCCTATGGATCCAGCTGATCCAGCTGTACCTTCTTTTCGGCATGGGAACATTTTTTGTGAAGCTATGTGTCGATACAACCGGTACTGCGAGTCTTCCCTTCAATCCTGTGATCATTTTGCTTCCAGGAACCTGCAGTCATTTTGAGTTGAATCAGTTGAATCAGTTGAATCTTCCTCTTTTGCAGATCAGTTCCTCTCAATCTTTTCCGGTACCCTCTGGTAAACGTTTACATAGCTATGGAAAATCTCCGTCTTTAATGGGAAAACTCACGTGATTTCTATGGCCATTTTCAATAGCTACGTAACAAATTACCAGAGAGTACCCTGCAGATGAAAGTGATGAAACTCCACTGCGAGGATCATCCCATTTCTAACCGTGGTTTTCATCACGGTTGATCCCATCTATACATGGAGAACATACCCTCTGGTAAACATACAAAAAGCTATTGAAAATGGCCATTTAGAGTGAATTTTCCCATTAAAAATGGTTATTTTCCATAGTTATGTTAATTTACCAGAAGGTAACATCACCACCCTGGAAATCTGGAGAGCGGGGGACTGTGAGTGCGTTTTTGGTTAGTTTTACAGTATGTTGTTGGTGCTAATTCTTCATGCACATCATCATGCCTGATGTCTTTGTCAAGATGTTCATCCAAAGAAGATGCCGCCACCAGCCAAAAAATATGTAAAACATACAAATAGTCGGTGAAGGGGAAACAGTATTGATAGATTACTACACCCCAGTAAGCCAAACCATTTTGAAACAGCTGCAAATGCAACCCTTTAAGCACCCATGCACATTATGAGGCATTTATCTATCAAATACAGTGCTGCCTTGGCAAACATCTTCATTTCAAAATAGATCTTTCATTTACAAGCTGCAATTTTCCTTCAAGGCAAGGCATTACTTCTTTCAAGGAAGAGTATTCATACAACATATAAAGCACTCCTCTAAACATGCAGCGTTCCTTTCTGTAGAAATGTGGCCTTTCTTCCTTTCATCGTAATATTAAGCTTGCCTTCAATCATACAGTATGTCTTTCAAAACATCAGATTCCTACACAACATGCAGTGTGCGATTGACATTCAGTATTGCTGTCAAAAGGTGCAATGGCCGATGCACATTGCAGCATCCCTTGAAACAAGAAACATTACTGTTGAAGGAACATGCTGCTTATAGGCTGCAATCTGCCTTATATTTCCTTAAATATGAAGCAACATTCTTGCAAGAAAAGATTATCATGTGTGGACAAATGCGATACATCCTTTAATGAGGTTAAGCCTCATTCTCATTTTTTCTCCATGGCGTTTGCTTCTAACGGAGAGACTTCCCTTCTTCAAAAGAATTGCCTTGAAGACAAGATAGTTCCTGAAATAAAAAGCAATATTCTTGAAGAAATACAATACGTTAACACCTGCAATACAACCTTAATGAAGATAAGCCTCACCATCTTTTTTTCTGCATAACATTTGCTTTAAAAGGAAAGATTCCACTTCTTCAAAATGATGTTTGTTTTGTTCTGTTGTTTCACTCATATGGAAGGGCAGACTGCATACATGCAACCATGTCTCTTCCCAAAGTATTATATACATACACTTCTACTTCACAATTTTTTTCAGTCAATTGCTTCACAGCCTTATCAAGAGATATGGGAAGTTTTGCGCATGGCGCCAACACGTTCTGAAATAGGAAGACCATATTCATTTAAAATAGGTACTCAAAGGATTCCATTCTGACATATTGTTGTCCTTCTTCCATTACTTCTTTAAAGGAGCTCAAAGCACAACTGTCTCTTTGAAAATGACTTTGGACTCATGTCAAATAAATGCTGCACTCCCGTATGTAAGGGGACTGTACAAAATGATGCCACTTTATGCAAGGAAAAATGTGACTTTATGCTAGGAACGCCATATTATTGGGAAAATTTGACTAAGAACCAAAAGAAGATAGAGTAGGTCCAAGGTTAGCAAAACCAAAAAAACAAAAAAAAATAATAACAAAAAAAGCAAAAACACCAAGAAGACCTACTGGGCCAGAGTGCCTGTGACATAGGGTTGTTTTTTGTTTTTTGTTTGTTTTGCACGCCCCAAGGGAAGGATGCAGAGAGTTGAGTCTTGTCATTTGTTTTTTCTTGCCAGTCAATGCATATGTCAAAACAGAGAATGTGTAAAGAGAAGTGCAAAAAGCGCACTCTCACAGTCCCCTGTTCTGAAAAAGGCTACTTTTCAGGCGCAGACCATACCAAAATGTAAGAGACATTTTTTGGGACCCCCCCTTAAATGTAAGAATTGGTCGCTGAACGTCTCCCAGGTGCCGTAAGCTTACATTTTCAAGGCCCTCAAAAACACCATCTCAAAATGTAGCTTACATTTTGGGTACGTCCCCGCCCCTTAAAACGGTGGTGATATAAACCGCTTACGATCGGATGATTCTCCACTGGTCGCATCAGGAGGAGCTCAACGACGGCAGCCAGGTGCCACGGGCCATCGCAGGCGCGGCTTCGCGCCATGGTCTGAAAATGGTGTGACCCCAAGAAAAATATGCGAACATATGGGAACATTGGTAATCTTTGATGGGTACACATGGGAAACATATGAGCTTCTAAACCACTGCAGTTCGATATTTTGATATAAATTCAGGATTTTAGGGGGTTTCCCTGATATCTTGAGACAAATCCAAGCACTGTTCAGACTTTGTTTTGTTGACATTGAGTCACACCAGTTTCGAATACAGTCACTATAGTTCGTTTGAACTATAGTTGACACTAGTTGACATAGGTAAAACTTCCTGTTGAAATATTCATTGGAT